AATAGATATACTTGGCAGTTTCTTAAATTAAAAATGAACTTAAAACAAAGACCTTTTTTATCGGTGATTTATTTTGATGGAATGGCCGATGTCCAATATTTAACTTTATCGCTAATATCGGCCGATACCATGCCGATAATATTGTGCATCCCTACTTATTATTATTGTTAAAGCTGTTTACGTTAATGCTTACAGTTTTAGGTTGTCATTTAACTTTCAGGTAAAAAATCGATCTCAAGAGTTTAAAAAACAAGTCCTTCAACTACAGAAAAAAGTCCAGTTGCTTTGTTTTTGACCTTTTAGGATTGGCAGCGTCCTGGATGACTGAAATTTTACACAAACGGGTAAAAAACAGGATCCCCGTTGCAGCACAGGCTGCATTTTCTGCTGCTTTGAGTATCCAAAATACTTAATACTGCCTCCCAAATCTGTAGTAACTGTATGAGTATGCATGTTAGTATTTCCACACACTGTTTAAATAAAGAAGTGCTTTTATATCAGAAACTAAGCTGCACATTTGTGAGGTTTTTGTACTTCTTTCAGCATCAAGTCCTTTCTTTGTATAACGTAGTCACTTTTTCATCTAATCACTCTGCCACCATTAAAATTGGGCAATTGTGTAATTGCCTACAGGTGTTTGTCTGTTAGCAAAACATTTCATGAACGAATGACAGATCAGTGAGTAATTTTGGAATCGGTCCAATTGAAGATTGTCAGAACGGATGATAAACTTTAGCAAAGACAAAAAATGTAGATGAGCTCAAATTTGTTGTGGTCGTAGTGAAGTCATCTCTAACATAATCTGAACACCAACAGATGTTTGTTCAAAGCTGTAACAACAAGGAATGTTTGTTCTCTCAAGGAGAGCTAATTTTTTTATTATTGAAATAAAGAATTAGGACTCGGTTTGAATGCTTGTAAGATTCCTGCAGGAACCACCAAACCCAGAAACTCTTGGGTTTTAGCTGAAACAGTTGATCACAAACTGCATGTAAACATGATTACAAAGTTTGTAAAGACCAGATGTGAGCAACATGTGGTTCAAGGGCCAAACGTGGCCCTTGGACAGTCTCCGTCTGGCCCCCATTATCCTTCATTTAAAACGTTGGAATACGTTAAAACCTGTTTTCTATAAATGAAACTTAAGAAATTAAAAACGTTGGATACATCAAAAACTTTTGATTAACTTTATTATTGATCGTGTTTCCACAACTGGACTGTACGTCAGGTTCCCGATCTCCCATTTTTTTTGCTGTTGCATATTTAAGCTAACAAATAAGTTGTCAGAAGAGCCAGTTTATAGAAAGTATTGGTACTTTTTATATTCTGAAACAGTATTGGGCAGACATATTTTATCAAGCACGCTGTGCTACAAGAAAAAGGCATTAAAAAAAAGATTATCCAGATTATCTGCACAAAAGGACATTTTTCTCTTCTCTCTAATTGGCTCTTCAACTGCTTTAAATCTCTTGATGTTGCCCGCCTCTGCTTTACATATTGCTGTTGTTCCAATGGACTCATCAACAAGAACATTTCACAGATTTCCTTTTTTTATTATTTCAGTTGGGCTAAATCAGCTTCGATACAAAAGAAATGTAAAAAATAAAAATAATACAACAAAGTACGTCATTTTACAAATACTTATGATGAAAGCCTGACATTTCAGGGGGGTAAAAATCAAATCATTTCGAACATGTCGGTCATAACAACAACAAAAAAAATAGAAAAGTCCATACAGTACATAGAATGCATGAGGAGCTATATACTGAAGTGTTTGCAATACCAGATTTTACAAAATTTGACTAGTAACAACTCCCAAATACTAACAGGAGATCAGGCAATATAAAATGTAGAAAATAAAACGAAAACTCGAAGAAACACTTGTGATATGAAATTGTGTTCTGCATGCAAACCAGCTTCCGTGTGATGAAATGTAAGAGCGTCGCTGGCTCGTCGGCAGCTGCTCAGTACGTGTGAAAGGAAATATAAAGCTGCCAAAGCATTTTTAAAAACGATGCAAAAACTCATCGGAGAGAAAAATGATGTGACTGTAAGTATGAAGGCTTTCATGAACTCCGCAGTCTCTCTCTCTCATGTAGTGCTTGAAACGACGGAGCTGTATTTAAATATACTGAACGATAAGAAGCCGTTACGTTGTCCACTAACTTATTTCACCATCTTGGTCCTGCTGCTTTATAGAGACGAGTCGCTGGGATTTGTGACTGTTCGTTGTGGAAACCTACAAAACACAGTAAATGCTCCTACAGATGGGACAACAGTACACACACTAAAACCACCATAAAAGCAACAATCAGACACAGCAACATCCTCTGACCAGATGTGTGGCGACGTCGTCACGTTCGGTGAGTAAAAATAGATCGTTTGGGAGACTGTCAACAGTCAACGCTGTGTCTTTGAGTGTGGAGCTGCAGGTAATTAGCCGTGATGCTAATCTTCTTTTTTTTTTTGCTCCCAGGAGCTCCCATGGAGACGGCAGTTGCTATGGTTACTGCGCGCTCTAGGTCTCTAGCAGTACGATGGGACGTGTGCATCTAATGTATGTACACACGGTGCAGTACATGTTTGATGACAAGTTCCTGGGCGTTTGTAGGCAGGTTATTAGTGATGGTTTGATCCCCGTGTTGACTGATCTGAGGTCTGGTTTTTCGTTTCGAGTCCCCCTGACTAGGGATGTAGAGGGGAACGGCTTGTAAAACTGATCTGGGATCTGACTCAGTCACGTCGGGACAGAAGCCCAGCGGCACGGACTGAGAGGAGGGCTGATATTTTGAACTGGGGTTGGGGGGAGTCCAGGCGCTGAGAGGTGGGGTTCACGTTCTGCTGTCACTCAGGGGCAGAGCTCTGGTTCTGCTGGTATATGGAGGCTTTGTCCTTCAGCAGAGCCAGACACAGGTGGCAGCTCCAACTCCCTGCAAACACAGAAACATCAGAGGAGCCACTTTATAAACAACAAACGCCTATTTATTGATATAAAAACTGTACAGGAACTGCAAAGAGAACAAAGATCAAAGAAATGTTGCCAGTGGCTCATTATGGTCACCATGGTAACACCTGTCTGTCACTCCCTGATGGCCAAGTTAGAGGCTGCCAGACACTGGAGAAAGGACTCAAACAAATAGACTGTGTGAAAACTATAAATGAGATTTTTAGTCTTGAAGACTGATGGTTAAACATTAATTTTTATATTTCTAGTGTTTTATGTAGGAGATTAAAAATAAAAGTTAAGACCCTTCACTTCCTGTTTTGAGGAGAACATTCTGAATTAAAATAAAACCTGTAGAAGTTTGGGTGTGCACTCTGTATTCTGGGTGGATCTGAAAGAAAACCATTAGTCCTACAGCAGTGAGACACGCTGTGTGAAAGAAGACAAAAATGTCAACGGTTTCATGGATAAATTGTATATGTATTAAAAACGTGAAATTAAAAAGATCGTTTGCAAAAGCGTTGTAATCTTTACATTTTAAAAGCGTCACATCATCTACTGTAAGTTGAAAAAAAAAAATCATAAAACTTATACAAACTTAAAATGCAAACGCTGTCAATATGTAAGTTCAGCCAAATCATTTTAAATGAGCTCCAAAGAGAACTGGAGTCTTATCTGGTTCACCAAAACCCTGCTCCTGGTTTTGTTTGAGACTGGGTTTTTGTTGGGTTTTTTTTTTTTGGGGGGGTGCGTGCACAAATTTTGCCCTCATTGTACAACATATCGCTTCTAAAAGTCATAACACAGAACTCCTGATTGAGACGCCCGTTTTGATGTATAAACGCTGCGCAGACAAAAAATAATGTGGCTCCTGATCCTTCACTACGATGACTGCATGTTTAAGAAACCACTCAACAGAGTGAAGATTATAAAGTGTTCATCATTCATGAAGATTTCAGTGAACTCTAGACACAAATCATCATCATCAGTCGTTAGCCTGGTGCCCTGGGGGCAGAACCTCCACCGTGGCAGATTTTCAACAAGACGTGGGGACATGTAAAGGGAGCTCTGTCCAGCTGCAGATGTCATCTACCCACTGATGAGGCGGACGCTCCTATTGGTGAGTTCCTTCAGCTTTTCCTTGAAGGATCACATTTGCGAGAGTTCCCTTGGCCTCACTAAATCGGTAAAGCATTTTTAATTTCTTCTTCTTGATCTGCATTAGGAAGGAGTCATGGTTTCTGATGACGACATGGACTCTATGGCGAATCTCAGCATTTGTAGTGTGGGAGGACCAGTGGACCTGAAGCAGGCTATTTCAAATGTGTATACACCTTCTCCATCTCAGTGTTCAGAACAGGCCTGTCACGATAACAAATTTTGCTGGGCGATTAAGTGTCTCAGAAATTATTGTGATAAACGATAATATTGTTTGAAATTTGACAATAATTAGTAATTATTGTCAAATTTAAGAAGAAATGTTAATTAGTTTTGCATGTAGTACCTTTTTTGACCACTGGATGGCAGTATAAGACTATGAACTGAAGGATGAATAGTGAGGGAGCGAGCAGCGTGTCTCTAAGAAAAATGGGAGGGACGTGGCGTGGGATGCCTCTCCTTCCTTCCTTCGGTTCTCAAAAATGGCGGACACTCGGTGTGGTTTGAGCTCTTTAGCGTAGCATTTTTCACACAAAGCTTTTAATTTAAAAAATCAGTAAAGAAGTTCTCAGCTTCTTTTTGCAGAGAAAAACAACTTTTTACACAAAGACACGGGTTTCTACAGTGAATTTTGGAGCTTCGACAGACGGAAGTTTTTTCCCAAGGTCGGCCTGTTAGCTTAGCTCATAGCTTAGCTTCTCAGCTTAGCTGCTTTTAACGAACCAAAAATGCGATTATGGACGGTTAAAATGGATTTTAAAGACAAAGGGAGGGGTCAGTGAAGAGCACCGGAGTCGAGCCGCGTGAGTAGAAAGAGAGAGATGCGAAGAAATGATAAAGTCGATAAATGAAAATGAGGTCGATAATTTTCATCATGCAAATAAATAATTTTTTTTTAAAAAGCATGAAGATGGACTGACAAAACAAGTGGACACGGGAGTCTAACTCTAGCAGTCAGAGACACTGATCTGTCCTTCCAGACAAGTTTCCTAGGGTCTTGCTAGGGCACTGGCAGCTCCTTACCATGAGTCACCCTCTGATGAGAAGACCAGAAGTAAAGGAATTCCCTAACTGGTTTAAGTTCTGTCTCTCTGATATTCATAACAGGCTCCCGTTTACCAGAAGCCACAGTGTTGGTTTTTGTGAGACTTGTTACCATGTCATAACAACTCACAAAGTCTAGGTTCTTCGCTTAAATGGCTTGTTCATTGGTAGAAATGTTTATAAGGACTACGTCATCGGGAACGTGATGATTGGTGATTTCACTTCCAGTTTTACAGAGAAATCTGTTCCTATCAAAGCCTCAGACATGATGTTCCGAAACACAATGCTGGCGAGAGTGGACAGCCTTGACTGTGTCTTCACAAATAACGAGAGGAAGAAACAACACATCAGATTAATTAGGTGGCCGCTGCCATGGAGGTGACCTTTCTAACAATAAATCTTTCTAATCCAGTGGCTTCCACAGCATCTTACCCTCTGGTGGTTCAGTCATGGGTGGAGTTAGACAGTACATGTGGTATCCTCGGTCACAGTCATCACAGAACAGCAGCTGGTCCTGTAGGAACACAACAAAACTGAAGAACAGTAGTGGAAATAGGGTATTTAAATAAAATGAACTTTGAGATTCTTTAAAGTGTTGCCACCTCCTGATTCCATCACAACTGTGTATGTAACTTAAAATATAAACTCCGAGGGGCTTTTACTCCGTCAGTTTAGTGAGTAAAAGATGCTCTGTGTAAAGTTTTTGAGTGGACCGATATGTGACCTTTAAACAACCCTGAAATTCAGAGCTTGTCAAATGATCTCCAGAGTTTAACTGTTGACCTTTCCCATCACTTACAACCAACTTTCTGACATTTACTGATTCAGCACAGATAAAAGACAAGCCTAATTATAATAATTATAAGACAACCCCTTTGCCCATTTCCAAACTGGGTTTTGTGAACAGAATACTTTTATGCCTATTTTGTTGGGAACTTCACCTCAAATATCAATAAACTGCCTCTGTGTCAGAAACGTTTTAATTATAAGTTTATAAGTAAAAACCTATGCAGTTAGTGAACAAAAAAACTCACTCTTTCCTGAAAGTCTGGACAAAAATTGTTCAACAGTGCAGTTAGTCATAGCATGTCTGCTGGGATTGTTGGCTGTTAAGTAGTTTAGTCATTACTGTGCTAAAAATAATTCAAAGACACGATGAAAAGGTCAGAGAAAGCAGCAGAAGTCTGGCATTAGGCTAAGAAACAAGTTTGTACTGCAGATTAAATGACCAAATGTTACCAAATGATTAACATTGCAAATGTTTTTTCTAGTAAATAAATATGAAACTATACATTTTTCTACATCTGATAGGCACATTTGCTTGAAACACGAGAACGAGGCTCACATCATTCTCCGACGTGCCACAAACGTTGCAGCATTTGCACTCGATGCACTGCCAGCGGTAAGTCTTCACTGCAGCCATCATCACCGGCGTGAACTGCAGGCACGTCGGGTGGCCTACGGGAGGGAGCCAGGGACATATCAGCATCGACCATTGCAACAAAGAGAACATTTGCTCTAACCCCACCTGCTAACTGACCAATCACAGCTTTGCAGCCAAAACAAACCAAATGAGGAGCTTTTTGAGGGATCTCTGCTCAGACATTTGTCTAAAACTGAACACTTTAAATGTTCTTGTTTTTTATTATCTGACTAAATAAAGGCTTGTAAAGTGAGTGCAAGCATGTCAAAACTAGGCCAATATTCTACAAAAAAGTGTGTTCATCTAATTTTTTTTTTTACTTCAGATAGTTACAAGTACATGTAAAAACTAATGGAGCTAACGTCAGCTCTTTGAGCCATCTTCTCTGACTATACATTTATGCTGGCGACATCTGTTTCAGCTAAAACCTTCAAATAGTCTCCAACGACTAACAATTTCGGTCAAATTCGGTCCAAAGTTAAGAATTAATTAAAAAAAATAAAAGAAACTGCGTCATACCTGATCGTCCACAGTCTGAGCAAGACACCAGCTCTTCTGATTGACCGGTCTTTTGATTTAAAGTGGAATCTCCCAGGCAGAAGTCGCAGTAGTCGTTGGGCAGTGCCAACCCGTTGGGACCCTTCTTATTTGCTGAGCAGGAGAATGAGCAAAGAAAATGTTTCAAGCACATTAGAACTGTCACTGATGCTACAAGCAGGTCAATACGGAAGAGATTTTTTGTTTTTTTCATAATTCTGACTATTCTCAGAATTCTGAGAAAAAGTCAGAATTTTGACTTCAATCTCTTTTAAAAAATCTGTGGCTCTAATCCTCCTGTGTAGGTCAAGGTTTAAAGGATGCTTAAAAGTTTTACCCTTTTTTTTTTTACCTTTTTAGTTTTAGCGTATTTTATTCATCCAAGCGAACTAATGACGCACTGAATTTTGATCATAAATGAATGTGTGACAAAAACAAAAACACGTGTACGTATGGATTTGCAAACATTGTGTCGCGTGCAAATGGGGAAAACACCTATGGGATGGACTATGTTGTTCGAGAGGGAAAAAGAAAAGATTAACTATGTGTTGAAAAACTGTCAGATGTCCCAACTGTGAAATCCAACATTTGGATTTAAAATCATAAAAATCAAAAAATGAAAAGAGCTGGGTAAAAATAAAAAATAAATAGAATGAGAAAAAGAGACTTCCCTTCAACAAACGCGTGCTGCACGGCATGCAACCAAACTTTCCTCCCGCCTCTCTCAGCATTTTCAGACTGACTCACTCTTCTGCTCCTCAGGCTGGCGAGGAGTGGGTGGTGCCTCGATCTCCTCGTGGTCCTCGCCCTCCTCCTCTGCCAGGTGAGAGTGTGTATAGTGGTAGCTCAGGCCGGGACGGTTCTTGTAGCGCTTCCCACAGACTGATACACACACACACACACACACCGTCATACAAAAGTGTTATTGTGATGGGTACGCTTTCAAAAAAAAAAAAAAAATACAGAAGGCCCAATGTGGAACCAAGCTGGAAGTGTGGCATTCATCACCCCACATTAGATTTTTATTTTTTTGTCAAAGGGTTAATTTTAAGCGGACACGCAAGCAACAAACCCAGACAGCATTTGCACAGCGAGCCGGGGCCAAGAAGTTGTTACACAGCACACACAAAGCATCAATGCAAGAAAGAAAAAAAACAAGGAAAATATAATAAAGCACCCAATGCACCCAGAAGACCAACTTTATTTTTTTTATTTCATTGCTGCAAACTTCAGTTCCCAGTGAGGTCTTTCAAGTTACCTCGTGCAAGGCTAAAAGCTCAAGTTGTTTATGAAAGGGGAAAAAAGCAGAAGCCTCTATTGCTGACATGCATGACACAGATGGGGTTTCTACTTACTGTCGCAGGCGTAAGGTTTGTCCCTCTCCTCCAGCGCCGCCGCTGCAGCCTCAGATTTCTTCTTGCCATTCTTATCACTTCGGCCCTACAGATTAGTTGAATCAATTTAAAGTTTGGCACTGTAGTGGACTAGGCCCATGTCAAAAACTAAGTCTAAGGTCAAAACTCTTGACCTTTAGAACCTTGTGGGACAGGAACTGTCATTTCATTCATTTGAACTCAGAAATACAGGTTCACCCATCCTGAGACTTTCTTTCTTGAAGATTCAAGTGAAAAGAACACTCTCTTTTTATTATCATTACTATTTTACAAATGTTGATAATCAAAATGTCTTAGTTCAAACCATTTTAGATGTTGCAGTGAACTAATCAATTTTATTAACTGAGTAATGATTTTTATTCTCATGTCAAAGCTGTTACAGAATAATTATGCATTTTCTGATTTCTGCCTTTGAGTGAGCAAGTGTGCGTTTCCAAGGTTGGAGTCAAACGAAAAACAAGTTGTTGAACGAACTGTCATGTTTTGTAGAATCCTCTCAGACGTAAATAGAGAAGTTTTAGCACCTGTTTCTGAAACGCGCCAAAACAAAACTCTCTCTGTCTGTGAGAACATTTCTGATCTGTTTCATAACAATCCTCGCTGTCTCTAACCTCTTGCGTCACAAAAACACACCCCGTCTGGTCGTTTCTGACCAATGAACAAATCCCAAAAGTGAACCGGGAAAGAGTCTTTAAAATGTCAGTACTTCCTGGTCTAGTCAGTTCTGCTAAGTTCTGCTAAGTCTGGTATGGTGCTGGAACCGTTCTGGGACAGCTCTGATGGAGTGCTGATGGACAGCTCTGATGGAGTGCTGATGGAGTTCTGATGGAGTGCTGTTGGAGTTCTGCTGGATACACAGTCCAACCAGTTCTGTTCATGTTCTGATGGAGACGGGATGATCCTGACATGACAACAAGCTCTTCCGAGTTCCATGGGATTATAACATTTTCCACTGAGGTGAATATGTGTCGAACAGAGCCTCGCCACTACTTCTGACGAGCTACAGCCATACTAAGGAGACGCTGGACAGGTAGCGTTAACGGAACACCATATCTGCTGATTATCATCAGAAAGGTAATGGGTCAAGTTTCCTACCAAGCGTACCGAGGCGAGCTGGGTTTCTGATGGAGAGTGCCGTTCTGGTGAACACTTACTTCCCCTCAAACCCCATCTTTTACTCCCTCTAAACTTCTTTCCATCTTTAAACTTTTCTATCAAGTAGAAATTCTTCCAGATATTTTAGAAATGTCTGTGTAAAATGCTCACCCACATTCATGTGGGTAAAAGATCATAGTTGTACAGTTTTCATAAGTGTCTGTGGTGAAGCAACGGAAAAAATCATGGCCGTATGATTTTTCCTGATTGATTGCTTATGTTGTTATTTTCATAATTTGCCAAATTAATGTAAATGTTTGATGTTAAATTTTGATTCTGTAAATAAATGACCGCATTCATTTTGATGGGTCAAACATAGATGACGTCTCACGTTTGCATTTCCTTAAATTCAATGCACGTTTTATTCAGTCCAGAAAAATGAGGAATCCGTGTTAAATGATGAATATATCCGAGCATCTGTTCATCTACAGCACAGACACTACCACAGAAACATAAAGACATAAACTTCAACTAACATCCCTTTAACTTGGTCTCCCAGCATCTTGTAAGGAGCTGATTGTCCAGCAGCAGCTTAAGAAGCTCACCTTTGACTTGGTCTTGCCTCTTCTCTTGGGCGTCTCATCTTCAAAGTCTTCATCATCCAGATCATCCAAGTAGTCGTCGTGGTCAAGAACTCTCTGCAGTGAGAATCTGGATTAGCTCACTATTCAAAAGGTCTAAACTCTTGCTTGTCTTGTATGTAATGGGAGCGTCTGATACTCTGTCATAATTGTTTGGAATTTTGAAACAACAAAGTTCACTTTGAAAAGCTTTAAATAATTGAATCAGTAAATGTAACCGTAAAATTGTTTCTTAGTTTATTCTCTGTTTTCTTGTCAGTCTGATATGCTGGAATAAAAATCATTAAAGAAATCTGCCAGAGGATGCACTGTAATTTGTCAGGAATCATTTTGAAACGCCAATAACAGGAATACGTTTTCTTTCAAATTATGGAGAAAAACCATTTAAAGTTTTTCCAATGAAGAAATCGGGAAGATGTTTGTCCTAAACACTGTCTAACTGAATGACGTAACAAAAATCAATACCCTGGTGCTGCATCTTGATGGGATTAATAATTTTACTAACAAACTGTGAATGCATCATCTGTGACGTTTGAGATCTGTGTGAAAACACGAGATTTATTGTTTTGGTTTTAAGTCTAACCTTACGGATGCGCCCCGAGGACGTGTGAGTAACTGTTGAAGTAGCAGGAGGCTCCACAGTTGCTGGATCTTCCTCTGGGCCGCGAAGGTCCGGCGCCCCGCTCCTCCTTTCAAGAGACTCCCCTTTCAGCAGCGCCTCCAAGCTGCTTCCATCCGCCGCTCCCAAAGCCTCACGCTTCAGACCCAGATCCAAGTCAGCTGAATGTACCAATCCATTCAGAAAAAATATCACCTTTAAGAATAGCATCATCTACCGATAACTGTTAATAAAATCTTTAAATATGATAAAAATGATAGTTTCCATGAACGGTCGAATGTGTCTGTGGCGGCAAGTTGTTTTCAGCAAAGGTGGTACCTGCTTTTAGAGTTGGGAAAGCCAAGCGAGGGTCCTCGGGAGGATGGGAGCGCCGTTTCTTCCTCCAACGACGGGCTGGGTAAGTGTACAGTTGTCCTGGAGCTACGCCTGATACGACAAAAAGGAGAATTTTATTTTTTATTTTTTAATCAATGGAAGACCCTTAATTTCTTAGAACTCAAATTTTGATCAATGAATCATCTTTAAATACTAGTCAGGTACCTGCACTTCGGTGCCTCTTCTCCATCCAGATGTAGCAGTTGGACTGGGCGACACCAGTCTGAGAGTCCAGGAACGGCATGAGGATGCTTCGCTCAGCACAGAGGCGAGCGTTGTAGTTGTGACACTGCTCCAGGGCATCTCTGTAATACTGCTCTCCAAGCCTGAAAAAGAGGAGATCGGAGGACACACTTTGAGTGAGACAGATCAACAGGACGAATCATCTCTTAAGCAAGGTAAAATACACTGCAAGGTAAAAACTGCAGATACTAGGGGCGCACTGATTGCAGTTTTCTGACTGATCACCGATTTCTAAAAAGTCAGACCTGCTGATTCCGATTTTGTTTTATAAGCGACGCTGTCAGGTGTTATAAGCTCACAATGCACCTTCAATTTTCCAATATTATTTCAATGAAAAACATACCCTTGAACAATATCCTAGAAACAATACAAACTTGTTTTAACTGGCCAAGAGGCAGTGCTCTGAAATATAAATGAAGTTTAGACAATTGTTGTTAAAACTAAAAAAAATCGGTTTCTCATGTAAGTATCCGTGCACCCCAAGCAGATACTGCAGCCATGCTCTTAAGTGTTAACTAAAGTTGTATTTTTTTTTAAACTTGTGTCATTCACCAAATGCAGTGTTCCCTTTTTTAACTTCAAGAAATGGCATTAACACACAAAAACTTCATTCTTTAATTTCCACCCAAGCTACAAACTTGTTTTTTTTTTTTTTTAGGAAGATCTTGTTCATTTTTAAATTCTTTTAACAACTCAAACATGTAGAATCATAGGATTGTGAAGGGATTCCTATGTATTAACATGTTTTTCACTTCTAGCTCCATGATGATGTAGATGTTTATAACTACTGTACAACAGTTCACATTATGGCAGCCTCACGAGGATATGAGGAAAACTGTATTTTTGTTTCTTATAAACGCAGTCTAACCCGAAACATTTCGTCTCATTTATTGTTATATCACGATTTGGCTTCCTATCCACTAACATCACAAGCATAACGTGGCACAGTGTCGTGGCAGCATTAACAGTAACGATGGAGGAGTGTCGGAACAAAAGGTTGATTGTTAGCAAAGCGCCCGCCAACATGACAGATTTGACTGAAGATTAAACCCTCTCCAACAAGCAGCTGACTAAATGTGTTTAGTATTAATAGGTGTAAACACCACTGTAAACACACCCAGGAGTGTCGGGAGTTGGACAAAGAAAGTGGCTTTAGCAGCGGCTCGTTTCAAAGTGCCAACAAAGCTAACGCGAAGGTAGCCGTAGCACAAAGATAACGTAATTCTCCTGGGACAATTATTGTATCAAAAGAACAAGAACGAGGTCAGTGAGATTGTAGGAGCCGAGCGGTAAAACTACACCCAGCCAAATGAGAGTGCGCCTCTGTGCGACGAGTCGTTTGACTCTTTCAAAGAGAAAATAAAGGTAAACTTACACTTTCACAACACTGTCGACAGCCGCTGCCATATTTGCTTACTGCGGTTGTGTGGAGGCGCTACTGCGCATGCGCACATACGTACGTGACGGTTGTGCCTCCCATCGATTTGCCTTTTTTTTTTTTTTTCTTCATTTTAACGAAAATCGTGTAATTTAACAAACTTTACAAAAATGTCTTCCACGTATCCTCTTCAACAACAAAAGCACGATGTCTACACAGTATTTGTTTAACATTTTTATACATTTCTAGACTGTTTCCGCCCTTTTCCTATTAGTTTTTGCGCCATTTACATGGTAATAAACTAAGGAGAAGTGATCCGACTGACAAGTTTATGCAATATATAGAAAAATATAAATGCTTTAGACATTTTTAAACACAACGACTTTCTTAAAGTCCTGTACAATAGATGCACAAGAGTTTCGTTTTAAAATGATTTTTTTTAAAGCAACTCAAGGTCTGCTGTGAAATTTCACAAGTTTGAAAATCAAAATCTATATAGTTAAAACATATAATTTGTTTACATTGTTTACATTCACTCATACAAGGCATCTCACCAAGTTCTTATTAAAACATAAAAATATATTTTAAACACTTATTTGCATTAGTTGTCATATAATTACTATCTATGTTTGATATTTTTTAAAAGTAATTATAAAATACATACTAAAATGCCCATATTTTTTAATTTGGATGGGGTGATCAGAATTATATTTTATCTAGAATAAGTTCTGTTATTTGCTAAGAATGCAACAATATATTTTTAAATTGTATACTGTATCTGAAATGGCAGTGTTTCCTTGTAAAATTTCAATTTCACACATTTCTAACGTGTTCTCTTCAGACAGGAAGAATGTAGGTTTGTCTGTTCACCACATTTAATTGGGAAGTTAATTTTCAGTGGGGGAGTGGTGGTGCAGAGGTTAGAGATGAGTGGGTGATTGAAAGGTTGCTAGTTCAAATTCCCTGGACTGATAACAAAAAAATGTAAAGATGAAGTGCCCTCGTTTGCTCCACTCTGGGCCCTTGAGCAAGCCCCTTAACCCTAACAGTAGCTGCTTCCTGCTCCATATGTGCTCACATGTAAAATAGAAAATGCAGATAATTAATTTCCCCATTGAGGGATTGATAGAGCATATCAATTAGTAAGAATAATTTTTGAGATATGTTTTGAATCTTCATTAAGATACTTGCATTATTTTTTAATAAAAATGTCTTGGTCAAGAAAGGAAGCAACTCAAAACAGTAATTAAACATTGACTGTGGATAGTTCTAATAATAGGTCTAATAGCTCTAATAATGGGTCTGATAACTGAAATGTTCATTTTGACTGGGAAGAACTTCATTAAAGATATTTTAGACCAGGGCTGCCAAAATGAGCACAGACTTCAGTGCAAATATAAAGAAAATGTGATTATTATTATTATTTTTTTTTTTTTTGAGGGGGGAAGAGTTTAAATTTTGACATGTGTAAAAAAAAGTCCCATAAAAAAAACATCTAACAATCTTAGTAACACAAAAAGCATATAATAGTCCTAATTTAATCTAATGATGTCTTTTAAAATAGACCATTTTTCTCTGCTGACTGAAAAAGTACCGGTAAATCCTTTCATATAATGTTTGACGTCATGGTCTGGAATTCCCGATGACATCACTCCAGACCAATAAAAATCAAGTTTTCAAACCGGAACTCTCGTGAACAAATCGCCGAATTTAATGTTGTAGAATTTCAGATGATGTTAAAGCTTTTCATATGGAGAATTTTAAAGTCTTAATAAATGAAATTTTTAAAAATCTTTATTGCGAGAAATTTTGCTAGAAAAGCTAACTATTTACTTCCGGTGGACAATAGAGGGCGGCAGTGGGTCAACCTTAACTCTAACAGCACACGAAGAAGAAAGCAAGGAAGTTAGCTTCTGTGCTAAATATGGCTATCATTTGGGTATCATAGCTGTATTCGTTGATCCTCTTTTTTTCTCAGCTTCAGGTGAGACTATACAGTAGAAGTTATCCATCACGTGCTATTGTGTAAGCAGTTAAAAACAACTGGTGAACGCAGAGGCCTCGCTAAACAGTGCTAACACCACAGTTAGCATGTTCTGCAGGTAAGCTTTTAAAGTCTGAATAAAAGCTCTCACCATCAAATAATGTTGTAAATGCAGCAATATAAAAATGGTCTATAAATCAGTTGGACGTAGTGGTCTGTTTTACTGAAATGAAAGCGAAGTTTTATGCTTATGTCATCATGGAGCTTCAGTGATTTAGCCTGTCGTTACATAGCAACGATGTAGTGACATTTCTGTCCAACAACAGACTTCGTCGTAGTGCTCCAGTATAATAGCGAAATTTACTTTTAATATGCCTGACACTTTGTATTTAAGTTCACAAATAAAATTAGTACAAACATACACAATACCTACCAGGACTTGTCAATAATATACTGCTTTTACTCCACATTTCTTCAGCTTTGTTTTTTGCTTTAACAGCTCATTATGTGATAATATAAAAAACAACTTATGCTAAATGACAATAATGAGAGGTTTAAATTTTTGGTACCTTTTAATAAGTTTAGATACTAATACAAGCTGGTTTTGACATCTCAAACTAGTCTATTCTGAGATCATTACACATTTTTATTGAATTCTAAATTAATATATTAAGTAATTTCTCTTCCTTACAGCTAATGAGCGCCACAGCAGAAATGGAGGTTGTTGGAGCAGAGGATGGTCTGGAGAGGCAGGAAGCCATGGAAGCAAAACCGAGTTCTGCGGGACACAGAGGAACTCCTGCAAAGCCGGTTTGGGCTTTGCTAGAAGAAGCGGTTCAAATTAAAACAGAAGGCAACACTTTCTACAGGGAGAAAAACACTCGCTCGGCCATCGGTCGTTATCATCGCGCTCTGTTGGTGCTGCGAAGCCTCGATGCTGACATGATGACATCAGTGAAAGGATTCGCACCAGAGAAACCTCCTCTCACACCTGAACAAGACACCTTACTGAGAAAAACACAAGTGGACTGCTACAACAATCTAGCTGGTAGATCATTTTGATTTTGTGTTAGTTTATCTCACAAATAAAAAGTGATAATTAGCTATAACTTTAATCATATTTTGCTTAGTTTGCAGTTTGTTTTATACATCTGTGTGTGTGTGTTTTAGCCTGTTTGCTGCAGAAACAGGAGGTTGATTACGCTCGTGTGCTTGAGTACAGTCTGCGAGTGCTGCGGTGGCAACCAGGCAACGTCAAAGCGTTGTACAGAGCTGGAATAGCTACTCTGGAAATTGGAGATCCACACACTGCAAAACAGTACCTTATCCAGGCCTGCAAAGCACAACCTAATGGTAAGAACAGAGCCAGGACATAAGCTTTAGTGGGGTTAGAATAAAGACGTCTGAGGGAGGACTGGCTGTCTCCAAGGTAAAGAGTGTTTCAGTAATCCAACCGAGAGGTGACGAAGGCATGGATTAGTTTCCAGCTGCAGTTGTGTGAGGTTAGGCTTTACCTTAGCCAGCTGTCTGAGGTGACAAATCACTGTCCATTTTAAAACCTAGATTACAAACAATTATCTTTACATGTGGTGTCAGAGGGCTCAGATCAACAGGGCAAGGTTCACAGGAGCCACTAGGACCAAACACCATCACTTCTGTTTTCGTTTCATTAAAATGTAAAAAGTTTAAGGACATCCAGGCTTTGATCTCTTCAAGACACAAAAGAAGTGGCCCAACTGAGGGGGCATCTTTCTTTTTTAGTGGCATATAGATCTGACTATCATAAGCATAGCAATGAAAAAAGATCCCATGCTTTCTGAGGATTGATCCCAAAGGAAGCAGGTAAAGGGAGAAAAGCAGGGGACCTAAAATAGAGCCCTGTGGAACCCCATTAAACATATTTCATGCATATACTGTGAGATGTCCCACTCAAAAGTATGTGTTGTGAATGAATCATTGGCTGTCACATAATTTGGTGCGATAATCAGTTGGGTTTTTTTTTTCTCAAAAAAATTCAAATGGACTGAATTATAGTAATTTTGTGTTGACTAATGTCAGTTAGCTATGGGAGCCATCTGGAATTGACTCTAAAAATTAATTATTTGTAGATAATGCATTGATCACTTTCAGAAAAACTTACTAGAATTTGTCCAGTAGTTCATGATATATTTGGGTAACACAGATACACACACAGGCAAAAACATTGTTTGCTTTTGTCTTTTGGGGCTGGCGATTTATATTTATCTCTATATATTTAACTATTTTTAAGACAGAATGTTCAACTGCGAGTTAAAATTATATGTACAGTATCTTAGCGTTTCATGGCCCAAGTGTGACTTTTCATTGCCATTTTTTTTGCACCTTGCATATTTTCTGTCAATAATTAATTTGTGTAAATCTTTGCAACATTTGCAGCCCATTTCATCAGATTCCCTTTTTTGTTTGGAAAAAGTTAACTTTTAGCAGCGTTAAGTGTGGCATCCAAAACTAAACTTGTGTCTTCTGTCACAGACGCCAGCATAAAGAAGCACTTGCAGAGGGCAGAGGAGAAGCTAAATCAGGAGCTTCAAAAGGAGAAAGCCATGTATCGAGGCATGTTTACCTCCGGCTCAAAGGACGACACAGAAGAGGCAGTTCACCAACCAAGCACAGCAGGTGATGGAGTTTAAACTAATAAAACCTCAACTTCAGGCAGACTGTACAGCGTCAAGGAAGCATTCACATCTTGAATTGCTGACGTTACTGTCACTTTGAGTTTGAAGCGGACATGGGAAAGTAAATGTTTGTACATCATACAGACTCCTGGAAAGCAGTCAGTAGGACAGTAAATATGTTGCTGCTGAAAATAGAAAGGCGAACACAGACGAGTTAGTTTCCTAGCAACATGGAAATGAAGTCCAGTGATCTGTGCTCGCAAAAGCTGAAGACTCTTCGTGCACTATTCAAATGGCTCTATAACTGAATAATTCTGTTCACTAACATTGCTATTTGAGTTTTCAAGTAAATCTTTTTGAAATTATTCACAGCATCCCATGTTTTTGTTTTTACTAACTCTCTGTGATTAATACAAAATAAAATGCAGGTATTTCAGGCACAGACAAAGTTTATTTATTTGCTTCCTTTATTTTTCATAAGCCACAAAAAAGCCACAAATTATTCTCATACAACTCGGAAGTCTTAATAAGTCAACAGTTATTTCAAAATCCTGAGCAAAATATCAAGTTAAAGAGTATCTGCTTGGTTTTGGTCATTATCTGGCCAATATGATTGTACTTCAGAGGCAGTATTGCCAAAAGTCGAATATTACATTCTCACAATTAGATATATTAACTGGACAAGTCACAGAGCAGCATGCGGGGGAGGGGGAGGTGTGTTCACATTCGTACTGTTAGACAAATAGAGAATTAAGCCTTTTATAGCCAAAAATGAGTTAATATTCAGTAGGATAAGATGAAGCTTTCTGTCATAAAAGTGATGTTAAGCTGACAGATCCTTGGAGATGGCGTTCACTCTCAAAAAAAATCAAGAAAAAATATCTTCTAAAGAAACTGTTAAAATATTCTCTTTCCTCTGTTGCATTATTTTCTTTACAGCTCTTAAAGGTATTTAATTATTCACAGACGAACTGGTCTTTTTTTTTTTTATTCTACCCCCTTTAAACCAGCACCTTCCAGCATTTTTGCTGGCTAAATAAACCAACACTAAACGTCAAAGCTCTCCCGTTAAGCTGGAAAATGTGTCTGGAGAAATTAGATAAGCATTTTGTGTTGTTTTTAGACAATATAAAAACTTGCTATGCTTTATTATTTCTTAAGAAAATCCATTGTTTTGTACAGGCCCAAGAAACTTGTCGGTGATAAATCAACACGAAGCTGACAGGTTAGGGCCGTACTATTAACTCGATGCATGTTTAAGATTCAAAATTAAACCGTAATGGCACTTCCTTTTACAACAAATAAAATATTAAGCACAATTGGTGTGTTTTGAATGCAACACATCGGCAATGCATCTCTTTTGATGCTCAATGACTGTACAAGTGTCACTTCTTGGATGGCCTCTGTTTGAGACTCAGAGACCTCATCGAGCCAAACACCTTCTTTCCCAAATCTCTCAGAGAGCGCGAGCGCTGGAGTGGCCCCTGTGGAGGTGGGGAAGGAGAAAACGACGGGGAGGACAGAGGGGAGAGCGACTGGCAGCTGCCCTCTAGGCTCTGAGAACGAGAGAGGTTAAAAAGGCTGGCGGTGGAAGACAGACGTTTGTCTTCCTCCTTTGCTCTTAGCAGCCTGAGCCCTTCGTCTTTGCTGACCCCCCTTCCACCCTGCGCCACGTCTAAGGAAGAAACCCAGTGCGCCCTCTTTGTTGGCTCTTCTCTGTGATTATGAGGCACCAGCAAGCCCTGGGACTCGCTCCTGAACAGTGCCCTCCTAGAAAGACGGAAGTTTGAGCTGTGTCTCTCCTCCTCATCCTTTTCTCTCATTCTTGAGAAAATGGGGGAGCAATCTACTTTTGGCTTTTTGTCAACACTGCTGTATGTTGCCTTCACCCTTCGGGCCTCCCTCCTCCAAGTTCCAATGTTGCCTCTACTCCAGCCGTACCCATATTCAGCTCTGTCCAACTCCTCCTTTTCACTTACAGAGTCCTTGTTCCATATGTGTCCTTCAAAGCCCTTCCAAAGCTTGCTGGAAGACTTTTTGGGGGTTTGGGCTGCAACTCGTTCATTCTCCTCTTCCTCAGCCCAAACAGAGCTGTAGTTCTCCCTCTTGGCATAGCTGCTAACAGTAGCAGCCCTGACCAACCTATGGGAGGCGTGTTTTCCTCTGTAAAGACCCTCTCCTTCCACCTTCTTCCAACTCTTGCCCCCTTCACTTCCTCCCCCACTGTGCCGAAGCGATCCGCTTCTCGGTTGGATGCCTCCATGCTCCAAAGGTGAGGTTCTCGTGTTTGTGTGGGGCAAAGAGCACTGGAAGGGTGAATCTCGTCGAAAAACGGAGAGGGGGGTTGCGCCCAGCGGGGATGGCTGGAGAGGGCGTGGTGGGGAGTGAGCCCTTGGGGTGGGGTGTAAAGCCGGGGAGGAAGCTGTAGAGGAAGGGAGCTCTGATGGAGAAGGAATATGCTGGTAGTGGCCGTATGAGGCGTAGTGTGAAGACGGAATATGGATGGACTGGTACGGGTGGATGGGGCTGCTGGAGTGTGAAAGAGGAGGGGTGAGGCTGGACTGAGACTGGGGAGAATGGGTGACACTTAGAGAGAGCTGTATTGGTCTCTGAGGACTCACCTCTGTCAGTCTGGTATAGTCATGGGATGGATCCTTTTGGGCTGTTAGGTGACTTTTACTGTGGCCTCTCATCTCACCTGCAGGATCTGTTTGAAAACAGTCAATATCCAGCTCCACCCCCTGCTCCATCAGCCCAACCACCACTGCCCTGGATAGACCAGAAAGGCGGGATATCTCCTCCACCATGGGGGAGTCTTCACTTAGTTTGGAACCAGAGCTAGATTCTTGGATCAAGCTGCTGCGCTGAGACCCAGGAGCTGATCCGGTAGTTAAAGTAAATGTCGATTGTCCAGTCTCGGGCGGCGCGCCACCGCTGCTCCAGTCTAACGAGCGACAGAAGGCGGACGATCTAAAAGCAGAACTGGCTCCCGAACCAGACGGGACCTCCAGGGAACTGCGGTGGCTGAGGCTGCTTGGACAAGTTGAAATCCGAGAACGAGACCTCAGTCCGGGAGCGGGAGCAACAGAAGAAAGTGAAGAGGCAGAGGCAGTTGAAGTATTAGAAAAGTTGCCCCTTGGAGCTCCACAGCTGCCGTTTTTGGGGTTGTCCGCCAACCCACGGCTAGAATTCAATCCAGGGGTCAGGTTCAAGTTGAGGTTGAGATGCAGGTTTATGCTCAGGTCCTCACCAGTCGCTGAAGGAAGGTTACCCAGGTTGATTGAATTCCTGGTTCCTTTTTTCCCCATGGCGTTGAGGCTGACCCTGGACGAGTTCCCCAACAGTGACTTGGAGGGTGTGATGCTGCCCCCCGGCAGGGTGGAGGGTGAACTATGGCTTTCAAAGGCAGACAGCGATTGGGTGGAGCCATGGCTTTTGCCAGGGGTACAAAGACCTTTGTGCGGGACTGGACCAGGAGTGGCAGCTGAAGTGAGATCAGAGGTGGACGAGTTCATACGACTGTGGTGCCGTTGAGCCAGCTTAGAAATGTACTGCTCCAAATGGGTGACGGAGGCCAGAGTGGGAGGCTGTTTAGCTTGGAGAGTAACAGCCGTATTAAAGTTGGTATCTATCGGCTCGTCGTGATCCATTTCCTCAGGCGTTGTAGAGGTTGACAGCTCTTGGTTCTGGGAGGTGAAAAGGGGGCTCTGGAGAGCAACAGCATGGAGTGGGCTCGGGTACGAATACACCTCTTTGGTACGACGGGATACCAGGTCTGTGCAGTAGCCGGGGTCCAGTTGGAGCTTTGAATGGTGGGAGGCGGGAGAAACGGTGCTAAGGAGTGGCATGACGGAAGAAATCAAGGAGTCACCTAGGACTGTGCAGAGATCTGACAGAAAGCTCAAACCAGTGGCATCCAGGTCCCCTGGGATAAAACAAGAGACAAAATCACATATAAAGTTATTTTTGAGTTTATCTAGATTTTAGGTCATGCAGCTCATCCAAGTTCTATGTGTAACTGGACTACTTCTTTTCCTCAGGGCCTCTCATCTAAGAGAGTGAGGCTGTTTATCACACATGAGCAAAATACAGTTTGAGAGTCTCTAATCTATACGACCCTTGAAGTTTTCAGTCAAAACAAAACTTTAATTTAAATCTATAAAAATGAGTATCTTTTTAATGTTGGGGAAAAAAAACTCTGAACATCTTGGAATGTCTAGATCTTAATGTTTTGAAATTAGACTCAGATTCAAGAGAAAATTTTTTTTTTTTTAAATACATATTTTATGAGCTGACATCTAAATATTTTGCCTCAAGTGTCAGGTTTTAGACAGTATGTAATAGAGATGGACAAGATGTTTACTGCTGTGTTCCCAGAAGGCAACACAGAAATAGGTTTTCAGCCAAGTATTACTTTGTTACAAATTTATTGCCAAAAAAGAACAAAAGCTATAGAAGCAAACCAATGCAACCTTTCTCTGAGTTGTTATGATAGTAAAGATAATCACATTGTGCTCACGGTCTAAAGCAGCATTTTTCAAAGTGGGAGCTGCCCCCAGAAAGCTGGAGAAAAGAAGATAAAAAAATAAATAAAAAATAGTAATAATAATAATAAAAATGCACACTAGGGCAATCTGTATGTGTCATTTCCAGACCAACACACTTGAGAGAGAGGTTAGATTTCTTTTGTTTTGTTCTTCTGGTCAACAGTTTGTTGAAAAGTTGTTTTTTCCAGTGAGAATATAAAACAGTGTTTAAAACATGTTAGTTAATAACATTTTTATGCTCAGCAGCTGTAATAATTAATTGAATATAGTGAATAAAAGTTGAAACATTCTAAAAGTTGATGTTTCTTGACATTTTGTAGCATTGTTTGTGGGTTTGTGAGGGGGGGGGCCTCAACCAGAAGCTAATGCTGTTTGGGGGGTCACGGCATGGAAAAGTTTGGGAACCCCTGGTCTAAATTAATCTGTGGCTCATTTTTGATTCAACCAAGTCATTATAGTCCTCTGGGGGGGGGGGGGTAAGGTTACCCATTTTTACTTAAATGTTAATCTCTACTCACCTGAATCTCAACTAAATCTTCTTTATTTATCACTTGTGCTCACAAATTGAAGAATACTGTAACCTAACATATTTTTATTGTTTATACATACTTCAGCTGGGACAAAAAAAAACAAAGATTTCCCAAAGACATGAATGAAACTGGAACACGTGTACCAGTCATCTCACCTGAACCTGGTTCTGGTTCTTCTGCTGGTTCAGCCTCATCTTGACTGTTAGGTTCAGGCAGCTGCACAGCCTCCTCTGACCACAGGATGTCAGTGTTGTCAGCAGACACAGGACCCTGTTCCCACAGCTTGGGGGGTCGGGCAGGTGGCAGGGGTCCTCCATGAGTGGCATCGCTGGACACGGAGTAACACGAGTCTGACAGAGAGCTCCCACTCACCGAATAGAAACCTTGAAGAGAGAAAGATCAGTCGATCTGTGGCTGTATGTAACAAATTAATGACTTTAAACAGAGCCAGACTTGAGCTCCTAAAAGAGGAATTTATGATGGCTGTCTATGAATAAATGAGAAGTTAAAAAGGACTGTAAAAGTAAGTTAAACAGAAACAAGACATCACCTACAGAAACTCAAACTTCATTAAAATTCCACAAGAAGGTTGTCACGGTGCTTCATCACCTTCAATCCAAACACTGAACGTTTGCTCCATCAGTAAAATTAAAGTTTGACTTCAGCTTTTGGTTTAATTTAATAAGAAAATTATGTTGAAAATGCATTTGTGTATGAAGGCCTAAATAGAGAACATTTGATAAATGGATACAAAAAAAAAAAAATTGCAAGATTTCATCAGCAATTATCAGTCAGGGCCAAGTCACTCAAAGTTCAGGTAAATAAACGTAAAAAAGATTGTGGTTAATGTTTAATGAGAAATCTCTAAAGGTGACCAAGTGTTGTACAAGTCAGTGCTCTTATCACACATATCAGCCATTTCAGCTGCTGACAGCGAGTGTTTAGGTGCGTATTTACCCGAACTGGGTCTGGAGTCGCCGTCCGGGGGTACGGTACCACCGGGGTCTGGAGTCGGAGGGGAGAGCAGCTCGGAAGGAGCGTCCCAGGAGAGAGTGGACCAGCGCGAGTTACTCCCCCTGCTTGAAGAGGACTGGACTGTCACATCCCCCGAGTTCCTGCCGCAGTCCTCGGGGCTGCTCTGACAGGGAGAGCCCGATGTGTTCGTGGGAGAGGGAGCCTGAAAACACAACCGTATGAGATCAGAGCTGAGCAACGGGGGTGGAAAAAAATGTAGATGTCAACGAATACACAATTTCCAGAAATGAGTGGAGAGTTGGAGGAAAAACACATTGCCTGTTAAAATACATTTTATGACTGAAGTGAACGGGGATGCACTTCTCAAATCTTGCATGAGAACATTTTTTTTTACAAAGATCCAGTGCGATCGCTAAGATTATAAGTTGATGACTTTCGGCTACTTCCACTCCCGGTTTTAGCTCGACGTCTGTAAAACTGATTGAGTTAAAACCATTTTTGTGTTTGCTAAGCTCACTCAGTTGTAGTAGCCATCGCAGATCAGGTCGACTCGGAAAGGACATCATTCAGTAGATGTTCATCCAGTGACTTTTTGCTGAGGGGTTCAGCAAATTCCGTTCAGTCAGTTGAGATATTTTGCTAACAAACCTGTTTAGTGACAAACATGTCAGCTAAAACCAAAGTCCATGCTCAATAATCTAGGTATACAATCCAACAATGTTGGGTCAGAACGTTTTTGTGTGTGTGTGCCGAGATGTTTTGCCTTCCATCCAGAAGTCTTCATTTCATTCTTTTCCTGAGACTGACGAAGTCTTCTGGATAGAGGGCGAAAGGTCTCGGCACAAAAAAAAAAAAAAAAACGTTCAGATGGCCTGACTCAACATTGTTGGATTTTATACCTGGATTATTGAACATGGACTTTGGCGTTTTGAACCAGTTTGACAAGACTGTCGACGAGGGAGAGGGCGGGCACCGGAGAAGAGGGCGTATCCCAGAGGCCATCTTAGCACCAACATAACTTGGGGGGGGGGGGGGGGGGGGGTTCCACTTTGGAGTAAGCAGGGAGAAAATCAGTTTTGTTTGGTGTTTCCTCAGACTGATGAAGCGTTCCGGATGGAGGGCGAAGCGTCCAGATGACCTGACTCAACATTGTTGGATGTCCACTAAAACTTTTCTTTTTTTTGTCAACTGACCAAACTTTGGCTTTTTGTTTTCTATGTGGAGGCCTGAAATATGAACATTTAAAGCAAAGCCGAAGCGTCTTTACAGAAAGAAACGTTAAAGATTCATTCTTAACTACAAGTTTCTTTTAGCTACTATAACACAACAGCTCTCCATAATGAGCTGATCCTGATGCAACAGGACTACAGCCGGCCTGTGCTTTACTGCAAAGTGCCCAAAGGGGGAAAAAAGGCAGAATAATTATGGGTTAAAATGAAATTACCGCGGCTTTAAAAACTCAGTTCAAGCCGCTGCATGTTGTGAACGACACATCTGACCGCCATCGTTCACCAGGCACATGCTCCGATGACATCACTCCAGTCTCACCAGAACAAACAGGAATGATGACCCGTGCACAAACAAACTGCCTCGTTTCACTACAGTTTCTCCTCCCTTCCTCCATTTCTCATAGTCCCCCCACCCATTCCCTCTAGGATACCAGTCAGGACCCCCCCCCCCCCCCCCCCCCCCCCCCCCCCGGGAGACTCCGGGCCCCCCCCCCCCCCCCCCGCGTCCCCTCCCCTCCTGGGATGAGTCTGATCAAGCCCAGACAACAGAAACACTGAGCGGCTCTGATCAATCCTCTTGTTACTGAAGAAACAATACAGGTAGTGAGTCACTGCTGGGGGTGATGGCGGGGGGGTGTCCCTGAAGAGAATAGGAGAGGACAGATGATGTAACAAAGAGCAGCCGGAGTGACAGAAGGGAAGGAGAGGAGGGGGAGGAGGAAGGGAAAAGTGGGTGAAAGAATTTTAGACTTTGACCTATCTTTGGTTAACCCACCCCCCCACCACCTCCCCCCACCAGCCCTCACTCCCTTCCCGTCAGCGTTATCAGCAGTGTTGTTGTTTTTTTTTCTTTTCCCTGTGAGTCGTGGCTGAGTGGGTGACCGAAACGAGTGTGAGGGACCAACAAAAAGAGTGAGTCACTGAGAGTGAAAGCAAGTGGAGGGAGAGAATAAGCGGTTGCCGGGTGAGAGAGAAGGGCATCTTGAAGGACCCCTACCTCCTCCACAAATAATCCCCCCCACCCACTTCTGTAATATCCTTAGAGCCTGCTCCCCCCACTCACCATAGCTACTAGCTCAACTCCTCGCTTCTCCTCCCACACAGAACAGGCAAAATATTTAACTCATTTTCAACCTGAACACACACATTTCAATGTAAATGTGACTTTTTGCCATTAAAAACACATAAATGAACATTTTGGCTCAAGTTTTCCAAACCTGTACACCTAAACATCTGCACACATCTGCCATTTGTCATGATAAAGCATTGCACATTACAGAATATAATGACACCACGAAGAGAGCATGAGGCAGACAGAAATGAGAGTGGAAGTCTGCTCAGCTCTGTAATATGATATTCCTCCATATGGGGGGTGGGTAGCCCCCTTTGGAGCAATGTGGAGCGAATGTACAGGTCGATTGGATAATGATGCTACAGCGATCGCAGCTGCACGAGCAACACACCTCTTAAAAGGTGCATGATGTCATCAGCGAGACAAATGGAAGCGGCAGAATAATGAGCTCGGAGGCAGGCGGCGATGGTTCTGCGAGGAGAACTGGCTGCTTCCTCACAGCACGCTATTTATTGTTTCATGCATTATTAATGCTGGATTAGAATTTAAAGACAGCCCACGCTGTGCATCTTCATTTCCAGCGGACGACCAGAGTGATGGGCTCCGGCTTTTCCTAAACACTCAGACGGCTGTTTCACTGGAGAAGATGCGAGTATCAACGTTACAGACTTTTTCTGTGAGCTCAGACAGAGAACCTGAGCCCCCCCTTCCCAAAAAAAAGGAAAAGGGGGACAAAAGCTGTCTCACTTCACCATTTAGGGTAATGGCCCCTCCATGTAAGGGGATGCTCTCCATTACAAGACACACAGTTAAAAAGGAGCGCACACACAACACAGAGGATACATTATTATGACTTTATCTGACAATTATCTTCATCACTGATTCGTTTAAGACACTTCACATCTTTTAAAATGGGGTTCCACACAAAGGGTATAACAATTACCACTAATAACTTACATGCTGTTGTAGATTGCTCTTTAAATCAGTGGTTCCCAACTCTGGTCCCTGAGGAACACCATCCTGCATGTTTTAGTTGTTTCCCTGCTCCAACACACCTGATTCAGTGATTTAATTACTTCCTCGTGTTTTACAGAAGCCTGTAAATCACCCATTTATTAAAATCAGGTGTGTCAGAGCAGAGGAACAACTAAAACATGCAGGATGGCATTCCTCAAGGACCAGGGCTGGGAACCCCTGCTTTAAATAGCCCGAGTTTGGAACAATAGAGTTTAACCTCGTCTGAATCAAGAACTAAAGGACCTAAAGCCAGTTTCTGTCGGGGCTTCAACTGTTGGGAGACTCTTTCACGATTCATAGTTGTGAGACATCAGGCAAATTTTCAGCTTTAGTCTCACTGAATTCTGAGTTTGCGACCAGCAAGCCGTGCAGCCACATTTTGTGCAGTCAGTTTTTAAAAGTCATAGCTTTTGCAAAACTGTATCCTAAGTTGTGCACCTCCACCCACACCATACTCCCCTTAGCTTGCTTTATATCCACTTTTGCCTGCGATGTAGATTTCATCATCTTTACCAACTGCTAAGGTCCACCGCCCCCCCTCAGCAGACTAGCTGTGTTCAATATTTGGATATTGTATCACTCAGGGACCACAAGACACAAAATCGTCTCCATCTTGGACTGCACTGTAGACTCCTGAGCAGAACGCTGTGGTGCAGCTGATTTAAGAACAAGAACATGGGTGCAGGTTGCCCACAGTAACACACACCTTCCTTTCTGGGTTGTGAGGGTCCCAGTAGTCCAGCAGTCACTGTATGAGAGACAGGGGACATCCTGGACAGGTCACAAGTCCATCACACAGATGCATAGAGACAAACGAGACAAGCTAACATTCATGCTTTCACCTAGGGCAGGGCTATTCAACAGAACTGCTCATGGGGGCACAGTTTCAGAAAGCCAGCAGCTAAGCGGCCGGACATCCAGCGATTAAAGTCACTGTAAATAAACCAAGTTTTACAATGATCTGTTACCTTTTAAATGTGTTTATTTTATTGTATTGAACCATAAATGCAATTAGCAGAACCCAAACACCCAGAACCCTCACCCCCAAAAAAGAAAAAAATATATATATATTTTTAATGAAGTCACTGGTGAGCTAGATTGAAGCCACCCACGGGCCGGAAATGGCTCGTGAGCCACCAGTTGAATAGCCCTGACCTAGAGACAATTTAAAGTTACCAATCAGCCTAACATGCACGTTTTTGGTCTACGGGAGGAAACTGGAGTACCCAGAGAAAACCCACGCATGCACGGAGAGAGCATGCAAACTCCACCCAGAATGGTCCCTGGCAGGGATTCGATCAGGCGACCTTCTCGCTGAGAGGCAGTAGCTCTATCAACCACTGTGCCACCCTCATCAAAAATACAACCAAGTAAACTCTAAATATTACCTTTTACAGTACTTTTTTCAGTGTGAATTTAAAAAAAAATGCTCTGCGGCGTACACTTCCTGCTTCTCCCACGCCTTTCCTCCGTTACTTTCCCAGGGGACGCTTTTTATTTTTGCACGCAGAACGGCAGCAGTGAGGATTCCACCGGCGTGGCCTTGACATCCATTTTGAAGGCGAAGAGTCGCTGACTACTTCTTTTCTAGTCGGTACAAAATCGATGTACTGTACTCAAAAGATCAATGCAATTTTCTGCCTCCAAAACTGCAGCAGATTTGAACAAATAAGTCATAATCAGAAAATAAATAATGTTTTAAAAACTGCAAGGTGTGCTGAAGCTGCAGCAAATCGAATAGCTGAAAACTGTACAGGTATGATGCTGACCAATTTCATTTGATTTTAATGACAAAGGCGCTGAAATATTCATTTCTGCCCTCGTTCTGCAGCTCCACCAGTTATTAAATAAGTTGCAACAGCAACTGCTATTTTTCCAGCTTCTGTTCATGCAAATGTGTGTTGGTGGGGGCCGGTGGGGGGCAAAGGGCAGCGAGCCCGCTCTGCTCCAACCGGCAGCACCCCCCTTCAGAGGTGAGAATGAACATTGCTGCTCGGCCTCCCCGCAGCATCTCTCAACTCCGCGGGAGGGGGGCGGGGGCTACAGAGGAGATGTGGGCTGGTGGGTGGCGAGGACGGCAGCGCATAAGGAGACGAGCTTCTGTGCAGATTGGACTGCGATGATTTCTGTCCTTGCAGGAATATTTTAAAAAAAAACAATTCAAGTGTTCTCTGGTTTGTGCTAAAGAACATTCACTGTTATGATTTGATTTTATTTTGGCAGATAAATATGCAGTTTTACAAAAGGTGATATGAGCCGGATTTAAATGTGGGTATCAGTGTGCTGCAGCCCGCTGACTAATGCACCTCACAGTTTGTTCAAGTGACGAAGTATTAAAATGCTCAGAATAACAATGAAATGTTACATAATGCAGCCGGCAGTGGCTTCATATCTAAAATAAAAACAATAAAAGAAGAATAATATTGAACACAATGCAGACTTGTATTGCTGATCTGGAGATAATCCTGAGATAATCCACAATAAACTGATGTGCTGCATGAACAGCTTGACAGGATATTAGTGCTGCAGCTCGACTGGAAAAGTTTTATTTTATGTTTTATGGATTATGTTGGTAAAAAGAAAACAGCTGGTCACATAAGCGTCAACGACCGACCTGCAATGCTTTCATTTTTTATTCATTCATTTTAGCTTAAAAATAGAACGAGTTGTTCTAAAAGTCGTGTTTTACTGATGAAACAGTTTCCCAAAAATACTGATGTGTATTAAAAACTATTGAAATTGGAGCCCTAGAGAGGAAAAATTAAATGTTTCCTAAAGCTAACCGCAACATTCCATAAGCTTACAGTGTTTTAGAAAAATTTTTAAATTTAAATTCCTTTCGTCTAAACAGCAGTCCAATATTTACTATAAAATAAACTTGGTTCAATCTGAGAGTAAAATTTGGTCAATATGTAATTTATTTAAAATTATGTAACATGCCAAGTTATTCCTATGGTCTTCTTCTTCTAATCATATTTAATACAACTATAACTGATGATCAAAGACTCATCATTAGCATTGATCCAATAAATGATATCACTTTGCATTCAATCAGATTTTAAAAACAAAATCCTTGAATAAAAATCTTTTTTAAGATCAGCAGGAGTTTGGTTGGTGTCACTTGTTTGTTCTTTCCCTTTTCCACAAAAAAATCAAAATACTGAAGAAAAAAATCAAAGTTAAATTTCTTCATCTTCTAAGTTGACTAATAAAATGCCAACAAGGTTCAGTTTTGTTGCCACACTGAAGGATCTGTTGTGAGACTTTCAGAATATTATCTTGCAGGGACCGGAAAAATAGTAACAAGGGCCGTATCTGGCCCGCGGACCTTCAGTTTGACACTTGATTTAAGAATTTAGGAAGTAGTACTAACAGAAATGTAACCATTGGTTTTAAATCCTGAAGACTGGGAGTTCAGATTTATGTTACAAACAGCTACAGCCTTTAGTGTCCGGGTCTCAGGACTGGACCAGGCCACATTCTGCTCTCTTACATGTCTGCCCACTATCCCCCAAATCATCCTCAGTCTTTGTCCAGTCAGGACCAAGTTTTTTTGAAACTGGTGATCTTGTGTGTTTACAACCAAAAGGTCGCTGTTGGACCTTCTCACCACTGGAACCACCTGAAAGCACACAAAGTGCTGAAGTGTCTTTAGTGCAGCAGAGTTCTGGTGGGTCACCTGCACCTGGATAACCTTCAACCATGGAGTTGGTTCTGGTCCTCTGACCTAAATGACATTTGCTCCATGTGATTGCTGCTGAACCCCGGACCGCAGGCTCGGATGGCCCAGTTTAAACCCCGCCATCTGCACAGAGGGACCCGGCTTGTTGGCGGATCAGAACCATTCATGTTTAATAATCCCGTCATGTCGAGCCGCGCTGACTGACCTGTTGCCTGCGGGATGGCGCAGAGCGGCTCCCGCTACCCTCCTCCTCCTCCTCCTTCTCCTCCGGGTCGGCTCGGTCCACCAGCGCGGCTCCCACCATCTCCAGATGCCTCCGCCGGAGCACCTCCAGCTCCAGCACCCCGGCCAGCGTGGCTTTGAGGCGCTCCCCGATGCGGACGCGCTCTGTTCCCGACCACAGCGAGTTCACGCAGCCGCGACGGGCGGCCATCTCCTCTGTGGACCGCGGTTCGGTTACCGTGCTGCGGGTGAGGGAGGTGAACCGGGCTACGTCCGACGGAGAGATGTGCGCATGTTAGATTGAATTAGTGCGCGGGTCGGAGCCATGCAGGATGAAGAAACCCACCGGTGGACTGCGGAAACCTCAACAACCCGCTCCTCACATCAACCCTGGCGTGATTTTCCGACATGCTCGTCTTTTTCTGTCCCTGATGGACCCATCACTCAGTCCTGGCTGTTGGACTCCGTGTCCTGCGTCCCTAATGAGACAATGAGGAGGATACATGTGCGAGCAGGAGGCGTGGGGCGGAGCCTCTGGGTCCAGGGGCGGGGCCTCTGCGCCGGACATGCACACTGATTGGACGGACGAAATATTCGAATGGACGTGTGGAAAAATTCGATTCAATTTATTTATATAGTGACAAGTCACAACACAAGTCAGGGCACTGAACAGAAACATTCATATATATGAAAAGTAAATTAATAACATTAATTATCTAAAGAGCAGACTGCTTTGAGTTTAGCTTCATCGCAGACTCATTGCAAGCTTAAAGGCGACAGTGGAAAGGAAAAACTCCCTCACGAGGAAGAAACCTCCAGCAGAACCAGGTTCAGGACAAGCAACCGTCTGCTTCGGCCGGCTGGGTTTGAGAGGAACTGGAAGGAGGAACTCAATACATGTTGAGATATAAATAATATCAAATGAAAACGATTTATTTTAGGAAATGAGGTCAAATTGTCCTCCAGTAGTCTAAGTCTATGGCAGCATAACAAGCCAACCCTAACTATAGGATTTATCAAAAAGGAAAGTCTTAAGCCCAGTCTTTAAACTGGACGTGTCAACCTTATGGACAGAAACTGGAAGTTGGTTCCACAAGAGAGGAGCCTGAGAACTGAAAGTGTTGCCTCCCATTCTGCTCTTGGAAACTCTAGGAACCGCAAGTAAGCCTGCAGGCTGAGAGCGAAGTGCTCTTTTAGGAAAATATGGAACAATAAGGTCTGTAATATAAGATAGGTTGTTGAGGGCTTTGTAGGTTAGAAGTAAAAAAAAAAAAAAACTCCCCAAACGTCCAGCTGGAAGACAAATACAAGCATACTGGTAGTGCCAGTGTTTACCGGTTTATGAAGCGTGAAAATGCTGTTTTATTCTTATAAGGAGATGTTGGTACATTTTCATCTTTAAATCACTTCTTGGTCTGCTGCCTTCATACATCTCCTCCTACATGTCTCTGCGTGAGTGCAGCTACAGCGTGCGCTCTCAGGACATTATTACATACAATGTCCCATCAGTGCAGACTGAACTAGGCAAAAGGGCCTTCTCCTGCTCCACTCCTGTTTCCTGGAATATCTTGCAAAAAGATCTGAAGCTCTCGACCGTGACCTCTCTAAGTGGCTTCAAACATCTGAACATCTGTTAAGTTTCTGAAAAAAAAAAAAATGCAGACATGTTCCTGTTTTTAGTTTTCTGCACCGCCTTATAATCTAGCTGTTTTTTTTTTTTTTCACAACTTTTTCCTTTTGGTTGCCATTTTATTGTAATTTGTTAAAAATAAATAAATAAAATTGTATGCCTTTTTTATGACTGTCTATTGTTGTCGTTGTTATTCACTGTTGTCATCACTCTTTGTTAAAATCAGGTCTCTCTTGTAAATGAGTCCCCAAGGGTCAATGGGATAAACCTGTCTAAGTAAAGGTTGAATGGATGAATTAATTTTTGTTTTGTTGTTGTTTAATGCATACATTTCTGTTTAATGATATCACCAACTGTAGTTGATGGGATGTTCAAAGTCGTCCTAATTCTTCGCTGAGGAAAATGATTCTGAAATTGTTCTACGACTTTTAGACCATTTTTACGTCCTGCTCGCTTATGTTGTTTTATCAAAAGCGCATTAAGCGCAGCCGCTCAAAACTTCTATCCAAAGCAAACACAACATGGCAATGGGCAAAAAAGTGAAATACAGTCTCAAAATACTCATCACCCACGGCCACTGTTTCCTACAATGCCATGGTTGAGTCGAGGTCACGTTCCCTGCGCCGGTCTGAGTCTGTAAATCGAGTCCGTTTGAGCTAGCGTCTGCCAAATTCTGTTCTCGACCAACAACGCATTGTACCACGGTGCAGATTTACGTGTTGACATTTTAATGAATATACAGTATTTTACATTTTTACTAAAAAGTAAATAACAAAAACATGCTGTGGTTGTAAGGTTTTAAAAGTGGACAGTTTGCTTCTTGTGATGGAGACGCTCCTGACTGACGTCTTCATCAGTGCCCCGCGGTCTGCTGATGTCAAAGCTTCAGCTTCGTTCAGCTCTTGTGAAAGACAACAACTCACGAGCCGGATATCCAGCAATTATAACATTTAAATTATGATTTAGAATCTAGTTTATTTTAAGTGGACTCATTGGCAGCTGAGTTGTATAACCCCATCATAGATTATCTATAAAGCAGGAACATTAGTCATTTAAGATTTTTGTTAATGTTTCTCTCTATTCTGTATAGTTAAGTTAAACTCGGGGTGGGCCGAACTGCACTCACTCGTGGGCCGGATGTGGCCCCCAGGCTGCCAGTTGAATAACTCTAATCTAATTCATTACCAAACTCTCCTCCAGCTGCTTCTTATTCTCAATGCGTTGCTACTATCAAATTCAAACTTACCGTTTTTTATTGGCTAAAAGTCATTTAGAGAAATGTTTAAACAATTGACGTGTTTAAGATGTTTCATTTTAAGCAAATTATAGATGTATGAGATTTGCAAATCATGATTGTATTTGCATTTAACATCAGAGCAGCTGTCCTTCAATGGGAGAGTTGGGGGTTCGATTCCACCAGCAGTCACATGCTGAAGTGTCCCTGGGCAAGACTCTGAACCCATCATTGCCTCTGATGTGTCCCATCGATGTATGAATGTGATAAAGCACTAACTATTCTTTGTATAGATCTAGTAGAGTGCTGTATGAATGGGTAAATGAGGGCATAGATTGTGTAAAGAGCTTTATAGAAAGACGCAATATAAGTACGGTCCGTTTACCATTTAGTCCATTATATCCCAACTTTTTTGTTACTGCGATTGTAAAGAAACTCATAGATCCTTACGGATTCAGGCACTGAATATTCTGCAGACCCTCTCAAGCGTTTTTATCTGCTCTGTTTTGTCTTTTTTCATGCAACAGGTTTAGACACGCAAGAAAACTGTATTTTCTGTACCAGAATCGTAACAGTAAATGTCGCCGAGCAGAGCACACCAACATTTTAAGCAATCTGACTCTCAGCTACAACACCACAATATCTGTAAATGGTTATAGCCATTTATGTGTTTGCTGATACTGATTAGCAGTGGTAGCCATATTGGATTGGGGTGACTCAAACAGGTAGTTGTAGGTGTACATCTATTAAAAGTTGCATTAAAATATGCCCAGTGGTTCAAGAGATACTTTACTATACCTAACCAGATGAAAATCACCTTTAGTTTTGAATAAAACAAGATACTTCTGGTGTTATCAGCTGAATGAAGGAGCTAAATGAGTCATGACTGTTGGTGCATCTGTGGAGCTTCATGGTGCCATTTTTGACCCAGCAGAGGGCGACCTTTACCTTCAACTGAACATCTGGTCATTTTTCTCTAGTCTAGGCCCATACCTGCAGAACTTCCTGTTCAAATATCCACAAACTACAGTCTGTGAAATCACTTATATTTCTCTAATTAGTGTCAACGAAAACTATTGATTACTGGCTTTTATAAGTTTATATTAAGTGACTTGTGTTGCAAACTACACGTTTGATGTGAAACATGAGTGATCTCTGCGTGGAAGCTTAACCTGCTTCTTTTTTAACAAGCACTTTAGAGCATTGGTTCTTAACGAAGACTTTAAATATAAATTTGACTAAACTTTTAATCACAAAGCTCAACGCAGCAGAAAAGGCTTCGTAAAAGTAAAAAAAACAAACTAAAAGTATGAAAAGGCCAACAGTTAGAGCAGCAAGAGGCTAGCTAAAACTAAAATAAGCCATCTAGAAATTCAAAGAAACAAAAGTCCAGCTAAAGTAGCAAAAGAATGTTTTCAGTGAGCTGAAGAGATCTCAATATGTAAGTAAGGGGAACGTAATTGTAAATAAGCTAAACTTAAAGAATATGTTACATTTTGTGAATGAGCTGAGCATGTGGATAAATTAATGGACTAAATTAGCGCAAAGTGCAGAAGTAGGTTGCACAATATGTACAGAAAAAAAGGAAAACAATAATGTGAACGCTGATTCAGCAGTTTCAGTGCTGCAAGGAACGTTTTTCTAAATAGATGATTGCTCTCGCTTCAAGGCAAAAGGCATTAGCTGACATGTGGCCTTTAGACAGAGGTCAAAGGTCATTAGTGATTGAAGTCAAGCTGTTGACACAAGGGTTTTGGGATCTTTGGCCTGTTCTGTGGGTCCTCAGGAGCATCTCGTCTTGCCGGGGTGTCCTAATTCTACTAATTACCTGTGTGTGTTGTGTCAGCAGCACAGATGTCACAGGTAGGCGTCAAAATACTCCATGGCAGAGCCGTGCGAATCAGAAAGCCCTCTGGGGGTCTCTCTGCCCACCAGGGTGAGGACAAGTCTTCTGTTTGTCAGAGGCGACTCCTCCCATCTCCGGTTCTATAAAACAACCAAAGGTCTCAGCGTCGCTGGGGTTCGCTTACTTCCATCTGAGGGGGACTTGCGTCAGCTCGGGGCCCGATCCGCCTCACCGGCGCCCGTCAGCCTTCTCCGCCTCCGTCACAATTAACTAACCTGAGGTGAAAAAGCAACCATGGCTCCTTTTGAGAAATCCATGGAGATGACACCCTTCAAGCAGAGGAAGTGTCTTGGTAAGACCATCTGATTATACTCTAAAAACCAAAAAAATCTCTTTTGGTGTTAAATTACTTTCAGACAAGTTTTATGCAAATATATTTTGTTGTACTAAAGCAATAATATTAGATGTTAAAGCAACTGAACACACTACTTTACTTAAAATAAACAATGTCTTGACTGAATAAAAATTGTCCCACGGTGCTTTCCATACTTGCACATATTCCCTCTGAGGCCAGGGCGGGTATCTTTAACTAAATGTATTAACTCTGGTGCTTTAAAGAGACTCAAACCTTTTCAGTTTGATTTATTTATTATTTTTTTACTTTTAAGCAGCCATTTTTTAACAACTGATTGATGTAAATCTAACTTTTTTATTTAGTAGTGTTTACGCTGCAGATTAAAGTGCGTAAAAATGTGATTTTTTTTCCTATTTCTGTTTAGCAACAAGAAAAGATGAAGTGTGCAGTATTCGGTCTAAATTTCCCAATAAGTTACCTGTGAGTTTTGAGCACGTTTTATTTAATTTTGTAGGTTTATCTTTTAACAATTGGTTGATGACAGGTGTGTTGTTGTGTTCAGGTGATTGTAGAGCGTTACATCCGTGAGAGGACTCTTCCTCTGCTGGACAAAACAAAGTTTCTGGTTCCCTTTGAGCTCACTTTGGGTCAGTTCCTCTGCCTGCTCAGGTAAATCCTCCCTCCAGGTGTCATATTCATCACCATCCTCTCATTTTCTCTCTGCTCTCTTTCTCCCACCTTCAATCTGCCTCTCTGCTCTGCTTCCCCGCAGGAATAAAATCGCACTGGACCCGTCCCAGACTCTGTTCCTCCTGGTGGCAGAGAGAAGCATGTCCTGCATGTCCTACAGCATGGGAGAGATCTATTCTCGCTTCAGAGATGCTGATGGCTTCTTGTACATCACCTACGCCTCGCAGGAGGTGTTCGGAGCCTGTGAGCTGGCAGCCAGGCCGTGTTGCTGAGGCTGAGATGGATAGAAATGAACTGAAGCCCGGCTAACATCACACAGTCAGGCTGGAGGAGGGGAAAGATCCATCTGAGCCAAATGAGACATTTTTACCCAGGTACATCTGTCTACCTCAGCAAACTTCTCTTCTTACTGGACTCTTCGGCTCACAATACCAGACTAAAGAGGTCAGAAAGGACCCTGATGGAGACGTTTGTTTGGACCAGTTGGCTTTTATTTCATCAGTAACCTTCACTCAATCACCTGTTCGCAGTATAGACAATTGTTCATTTGAAACAGAGTTGAAATCCTCACAGACTTCATAAACGTACAAAGATTGTGTTTTTTGTGATGTTTTGTCTACTTGCAGGTGTGTTTCTCTATGGCTGTAACTTTTAGAGTTATTAAAGGATCAGGTGGCACCGACAAACCAGGTAAACATCAGGTACCTTTTTCAGTTCATTGCTCAGCTCTTAACTCTTCATCCTCATCTTCGTCCACCCAAGAATGTGAACTCGTCCCACAGACTCATCATCGAACACCGAGGTCCAGTTAGACATCTGTTTCTGCTGCTCTGATGTGTCTCTGTGTACAAACAATGAAATAAATTCTTATTTCACTCCATGAGCGGTGTCAGGTTGTGTTCAATTATACAGGTGTGCTAATCATTTTACATGAATTAAAGATTTCCTTAAAGTTAGCTTACCTTAAATAAAGCTTAAACTTCAACACGTCATGCAACAGGTGTGTTTGTACAACACAGTTAAAACCTTTTGGGTGGGTGGGGGGATGTCAAAAGGAACAAAGAAAAAGCATTTTCTGCAAAAATGCAGCATCAGCGTTGTTGAATGATTGCTAAAATTTGAAGAAGCTAAACTTGAGCTGTTACAGCTTAAAAAAAAGCAAAAGCCTTGCTAAAAACTTGGTCAAATAAAATCTTAAAGAAGCAAAAATGCTAGCTTAAAGTATAAATGTTGGCTAAAAGTGGCAAAATGAGAGCTAACCCCTTGATGTATCAAAACGCTGACTGAAAACTAAATATTGAAAATGCTTGCTAAAAGGAAAAAGTAGCAGAAGAGCTAAAAACTAAAAAGTAGCTTAAGAAGACAAAACTAGAGCATTATGTTGAACCATATTTCAGAATGGTTTTTAAGGAATTGAATATATTTCATCATGTTTCTATGAGTGAAATAGTTGTAAATTAAATCTTTGGAAAATGTATAAAAGTTACAAAAAGTCACAGCACTCATCTCCTGTATGAGCTTTTGAAATGACTAAGATAGTACAACGTGTTGTAAAATCACACAGAAACATAAAAAGCAGGAAATTAATTTGTATTAACTTGTATCTTAGATTTGTTGAAAACACGTTGAATGAGAAAAACAGAAAATAATTGTTAAAAAGGTCAAATTTATCTTTTTTTATAGTAACAAACTCGTTTTAAGACTGAATCCAGCTGAACAGGTTCATTCAACCTTTATTTAGACAGGTAAATCCCAGTGAGCCCCGAGGACTCATTTACAAGAAAGACCTGATTGAAAAAAGTAGAAATGTTTCGTCGTTCATTCGAAAGACTTCTTCAGTCCCAAACTGAAAAAGTCTTTTCGATGAAAGATGAAACGTTTCTACTTTTTTTTTTTGTTATTTTGCTTCGTTTTGTTTTTTGAATGTCCAGAGGACCAGACTTAACTTTTTTAAATTTTTCTACCTGGATTATTGAGCATGCATCAGGATATCAACATTAACTTGTCTTCAAGCAATATTTTAATTTCAACCATGTGTTTTTTTGTTAATAAATGATGGGATAAGTACTTTCTCTTCTCGTGGTGTCTTTGAGAATATCCCAGCCTGGTTTAGTCCAAATCAAGGTTGTTTAACCTTTGAGTGCACAAAAAGAAGCTCGCAAAGAGTTTTCAGTTCAGTTTATTTATATAAGGCTAACTCACATCAATGTCATCTCAGGGCTCTGGACAAAGCATCCACATTATAAAAAGCCAGTTAGTAAAAGTTATCTAAGGAAGCCAGTAGATTGTGTTAAAGCTTCACTTAGCTGCAAACTCCCATCCTGAGCAAGCACACTGGTGACAGTGGAAAGGAACAACTCCCTTTTAACAGGAAGAAACCTCCAGCAGAGCAAGGCTCAGAAGCCCCACCTGTCTGGGGTTAGAGAGGGCAGGAAAGAGACACAAACACACAAAACGGCTGCTCCAGGTGTAGTTTCTGTGGGCAGAAAGATAAAAAAACACATGTGCTAATGATAAAAATATAATTACTAACACAAACACGAAGAGCGGCAGAGTGAAGAAGAGTGTGTCCTCCACTGCAGCTAAACTATTTAACACTTCTAAACTCAGAATAGACAACCTTACTTAATTAACCTCTCCGGGGTTTTTGGGAATTACTAACGAGGTTCTATGTTAGGCACCGAGTGATTTGTTCTCACACACACAGGTGCTTCATTCCTCACCCGCCTCCGAGAAGTGACGCTCAGGCCTCATGATTATGTTACATAAGGCTGACACAGTCAACTCTGCGCTGGGTTCAGTGTGTCAGACGGGTGGAGGGACTCTTTGGAGGTTTCACACACGTAGGAGACTAAAAAAAAACAAAACGCCCGAGGCAGAAAAACAGACGAGCTGCTCTCCTGAAACAGCTGGAGGTGCTGAGGAGCATCGATGACGCTGCGACAGAGACAAGAATAAGCAAACACACCTGACAATACGAACATGTGATGTACAGAAAATGTTGCACTGCTTGTTATTTCACACCAGTGCGGCCATTTCAGCAGACTGGAGGGTTTAAATACATGTTGGACCACAAGGAACAAGCATCTGCAACCTAATGCACTCATGGAAGTTTATTTGATGAATTTCAATCAACTGAATAATAGTTGTTGCAACTCTAATTACGAAAGAATGAATGCTTTTACGACTTTCTTTTGGACAGCATGAGAAATCAAAAATTGTCCCCATTTTGTGTGTTTTTATTAAGTAACCTTCTCCACAGGAAAGATCAGACTCAAAGGCTATAGCATCTTATCATTCAAGGCAACACTACAGTTTACAAAAACAAATAGAAAGCAAGAGTGCCCAAAAAAGCTACCAGTAGAAATAACCTGTAATAACAAATACAGACACTAGAGGGCGCCCCAGGACTAATAAAACCTGTTGTGTCTGCAGGCTGATGGGAGCTGGTGAGACAAAAGCATGACAGTGAGTGTAATAGAATAAAATGTTTCAGGTGAATAAACACCCTCAGCTGTGATTCAAGGTCACAATATTTCCACGCTGCCAGCCGATGTTTACGAGACGAAACTGAAGCCGTGTGGAAATATTTAACCTCGTCACCGATGTATTTAGGTTGTTACAATTACAAACACAGGAAAAACACCTGATAAATACGTTAATCTGTGAGGGTTTTGGTTTCTTCCATTTGCATCGTGTCTGAATCATGCAAACAAAAATAGGGTTAAATCTGGTTTAGGAGTGTGGGTTTAAAATAAAATATTTTTGAATATGAGCTTCCTCTTTATGTGCTACTTTGATGTTTTGTAAATGTTCTCCACATATGCTCAAATATCTGCTTCACTGCTATTTTAAATATGAAAATATTCACCCAGAATCAAATTGTATGGACAAATTGACCTTTTATGTTCTCCTGCAGCCTCCATTTTGAGTCTGTCTGACCTACAGAGGGCACAAGTGTTGGACAGGAAATTCACAGGACTTCAGGACGACCTTGACGTGACCCACACAGGTAAGAGGCTACAAAATAAAAGCACAAGACTGTTCACATTTACTCGGCTAATATTTATTTTAGAAATTTTTTATACGTTTTTTTTGCTTTTAAAGAGGAAAGTTTTCAATAAGGCTTTTCTGATGACACGTTTAACAATCTTTGTTGTGCGTCAGTGGAAGATTCATTACAAGTCCGTGTAAGTACGAGTCACACACACTTTTTTTATCTGACAAAACAAGAAGGGTTCAAAAAGAGTAAATTAACAGTCAGGATACAAAAATATAGATAAAACAATTTTAACAGCTGTTTTATTTCATTTCCTCTTTCTCTCCAAAAGACAAAAAAACTATTTCTTTGGATCAACATGTGGACTGTAGAAGACTTTATTCAGAATGCATAAATCCATGTTCATCCCCATCACTTTATTCCACCTTGGTTTTTTTTTTTTTCCATCATTTTGTGAACTCCCTGCCCTCCTTTTTTCACATGAATAATCCCCCCCCCCCCCCCCAATGAATGCCCCCCCCAGAAACCCTCCAGTCTCTCTCTGGTCAGATCACAGCAATGCCTGGTCCGGGTGTGTCAAGAAGCCTGGGGACTCACAGTTTGAAGGCGGACGATGCAGTTCGTGCTCGTGGTTAAACTTTTGGCACTGAGAGTCCCTAACATGAGTGTTGACAGATCTCCAGGCTGCCCCCCCTCCTCTCTGGACCTTCAGTCTTGCTGAACTGTCCCACGTTTTGATGGGGGCACCAGGTGATCGGGCAGCGAACCCGGCAGCTCGTGGCCCTCCAGCTTCACCTTGATCAAGTGGTTGGCCAGGGCGAACTCCTCGTCATCAAGGAAGCCATCTTTATCCACGTCTGCCAGCTTCCAGATCTTTCCCAGGACCGTGTTGGGCAGTTTGGACTTCAGCATCTCCTTTTTGGCTGCAGCTCCGGACACTTTGCCATTGATGGGGGAGAGAGTGTAGAAGATCTCATCGTACGTAGGCTTGTCGCGACCCACCACCCACTCCAGCTCGTCGATGCCTTCGCTAGCCCCCTCGCCGTAGCCGTGGCCAAAGGGTCCGCTCATGGTTCCCTCGAAGGCTCCGCCCTTCACAGACTGGCTTGGCATGGCGGCTTCTTCCTGACGCACCATCGCCATGAGGCGGGCGATGTCGTTGGCGAGCATGTCCTCCACGGACTCTAGTAGTTTGGGTTTCAGCGATGCAAACCTGGTGAAGTCCTGGTTGTTCAGCAGCTCCTGGGGGGGGAGAAACAGGAATCAGTGATAGAAATAGATCAGTCGTCAATGGCTACCAACAGGAGCAGAATACAAGAAGCAGGATTTCCTGACAAACCAGGAAAAATAAATCTCATCCCCGTTCTGGCCCATCCTGGAGGGCAAGAGCAGGAAACGAGGGCGAAGATGTGAAGACTAGAGGTTGGAAGGTCATTGTACTAGTAAAGGTTTGTTCCTACACCGGGTGTAGCACACAAAAATAACCATTTCATCTGCAGTTTCCTGTCTGCACCGCCACACGGGTTTGTATCGGATGTAGAAGTGGCTTTAACATGCTCGACTTCAGCGGTTTTTGATTTGTATCTTACCTGCATCTTTGCAAGGTTGGGAAAATCTCCAGGGGAGATCTGGTGCTCCTTCTCTATTTTGTGGTAGATTTCTCCCAGACTGGCTATCAGCTCCTTCTTCTTGGAGTCCTTTCCAAACACACTGGGCATCTCCTTTTTCAGAGAGCTGATAATGTAGGCATGAACCTGAAGGCCACACGAAGAAACATTTCAGTGGTTTCAGACTATTGAGTACACTTAAAATAAGGCACCGTGTTGTTGGTTTTTTTTTATAAGTAAGCCAAAATAAATAAATTTAAAAAAGCAGCTCAAAGTAAATTACTGTCCAGAGTCTTCAAAGTATTTTAAGTGGTAAAAATAAACTGTTCTTCAGTATTTCTCGTAAAGCACCGTCATCTTCAAACACTTTGGATTTAGTTCTGCTTGTTGTACTTGTTGTGAACTCTTGTTTACAGAACATGGGTTCTGGTTGAGTGAAACAAAGACAAGTCTTGCTTTCCGTCAGCTTACCTTACAAACATTGATTCAACTATAAAAATCTCTCAACCTTTGACCCGACTTTGAAATAAACTTTGCACTGAAATCCATAATTCTCTGGATAATAAATCATGAGTCAAACTGACAGTTGTGACTTTAATGAAAATTGATTAATGGCTTTCAGAAATATTAGTTTCAAATTTCACATAAACCTTCACCGTCTCACAACGTAACATGTAAATGCCTGAGATTTTTTTTTTTTAAACTAACCAACGCCGATATGAATCTCAGCTGCATGGCTGAGGCTTGAGGTCATGTGAAGACTAACCTTGGCGAGACGTGCTCGCTTGATGAGGTCATTGAGTTTGCGCAGAGCAGCGTTGCGTGGCAAAGACTGAATGTCCAGGAACAAGTCCTGTTCCTCCGCCTCAAACAACTTCCTGTTGTCAGGGACCAGCAGGGGCTGGGCCCAGAATGAGCCGATGTACACACGCACCACCTGGAATAAAGTTCACACAGATTAATCTTCAATGATCGCCGTTTCCATCAGGTCATAATTATCTGCCTGCACCCACAAGAGGAAATGCTTTCATGGGGCAGAAACATGACACTGCAGTCTGACTTTTGTACAAAAAGACAAAATTAAATAAATTTCACGTGTCAAAGAGGCAAATAGGATGAGACAATACATTTCTAGACTACGAAGCTAAAATACAGATTCAGAATTTTGTGTGTCGCTTCCTGTTTAAAACATCCACAAAGTAATTCTGTGTCAAAGTCCATGAACGATGATGATCCAAAGGTTTCAGCTGATGAATGAGAACCTGGATCAAACATTAACTGAACAATCATAAGACTGCCACATGAGGACATGGGATTTGAAAAGGATGGTAATATAACTTTTTCCACTTTCACTACATTCAACATTAAAGAATTTACTTTGCGTTTTGTTACAGTGAGCCTGAGAACACAATCTGATTTCCCTTGTCCTTGGTAAAAAATAAATTAAATTAACTTTGTTCTGATCTGCCCAAAGATGATCAGATTTTTCTTTGAAACTTAAACAGATGGTGCAAAGTTTAGCAAAAAGCTAATCGCTGCCACCAAAGATGCTAATATTTAACAAATATACTGTCTAAAGGCACACAGGAAAATTAAAAAGTTTTGTACCTCAGGTGTGTTGATGATTTTTCCCAAAGACCACATCAGCGCTCCGTAGACCCTCATCAGCTGCTGAGTGCTGATCTGATCCGCTTTGTTCAGCACCACGCGCATTTTGTCCTCGTGGTTCTTGAGAGCACGGATCACCTCGGAGAACTCGTCTGAGATGTCCAGTTTGTGAGCGTCGAACAGGAGGATGATGCGGTCCACGCGCTCGGCGAACCACTCGAGTACAGCAGCAAAATCATAACCTGGACGGAGGAAAAGAAAGGGTTGAAAGAGGCTCCTTAACCCTCTGTGAGAGAATTATTTCATTGTTTTTAGCATTATTTATAGTCGAGAAAACCTCAAGTCTTTTATTCAAGTTAGGAACAACTGTCTGGGGTTAGTTTCTGGAAAAGATGCCAAAATAATTTGCATAAAGCTGTTTCTGAATGATAACATCCATAATAAAGAATAATTCTCGTGAACGTGCCTCACTGTTCACAGCAGAAAAGTGCTGTGAAAGATCAATAAACTGGCAAAGAGGTCGGTACTCCGAATAAATGTTGCGTTTAGAGAGTTTTATTTTTATAATTCAAGCGTGTTGATCCAGTAATGTTTAGAAAAGAGAGCCCTTTTCCACCTCTGGTTATTGTTTAACCAGGTGCTCTGACAACAGGAGGAGTCTACAAAGAGACACGGTTTAAAACTAAAGCCCAATGGACACGGCACATTTCAGCTGCAGAGAAATTACATCAATTGTAGGAAGAGAAATTGAAAAACAACCTTGTCAATAGTGAAATATAAACACTATCACCAGCCAAGCACAGAAAACTGCACGATCCACTTCCTTTAACATTAATGGCCAACTCTAAACGCAGAACAGGTTGTTCCTGAGTTCTCTCAGTTTTCTCAGAGAGCGCTGAGAGTTGTGGCTTTGATTAGTTCCTGTGGATCATCTGATCAGACAAGAATGCAGCTGGTATTAAAAACTCATCTCAGCTGCTGCACAATCACTGCTGCAGATACATTCCAACACGGCTGGCTTTTGTCCCAGAATATTTCTAAACAGCAAAACGGCGGAGAAATACTGCCGCTTGAGAGACTCGGGGACAAAAGGACAGATGAAGAGAATCAGAGGAGTAAAAGAAAAGTAAAAATAGAGGTGGACATAAGAGGGCTAGACAAGTCTGTACCTGTGGGTGTCCATTACAAATGAGGGGAAAAGCCCAGTCGGAGCCGACTGAAGACATTAATTCACTCACTCGAAAGCTTGTTTCTAAACCCACAACAGGACCTCAGAGACAGCTGCTGGAGCCCAGACTTACTTATAGCATCAACAACTGCTCTGTGTGTGAACCATATGGACTGCACGGACATGCAGACGTTCAGCTGTGAAGTCAGGACAAATATAGACAGATGAAAATCAAGTAGTAGAAAGAAAAAAATGGATTTAAGACCAGACATCCAAATCTTTACCAGGTTGTTGGTGTAGGAAAACTGCTTTTTGTTTTGGACGTTGGCTTAAAAAGCTAAAACCAGGAGAAAGTTTAGTTTACCGTCAGGACTTCAGATCTGAGCAGCATGACGACAGAAGGTGTTGAAACGCAACTAAATTTACCTACTAGCACATTTAAAGCTTTAATAACATAAAAAAACAACAACCTTGAGCTCAGTTTAAATCTAGCCAACATGAACTGTTTCCTAAAACATTTTAAGCAAGATGGCTGAAAATTTAAAGTTGGCTTCTACAAAGCCCTCAACAACCTAGCTCCATCTTATAGTTGAGATCTTATTGTTCCATATTTTCCTAACAGAGCACTTCACTCTCAGACTGCAGGCTTACTCACGGTTCCTAGAGTTTCCAAAAGCAGAATGTGAGGAAGATCTTTCAGTTCTCAGGCTCCTCTCTTGTGGAACCAACTTCCAGTTTCTGTCCATGAGGCTGACACATTGTCCAGTTTTAAGACTGGGATTAAGACTTTCCTTTTTGATAAATCCTATAATTAGGGTTGGCTTGTTATGCTGCCTTAAGCTTAGACTACTGGAGGACAAACTGACCTTATTTCATAAAATGAATTACTCAAATTGAATAGTTTTCATTTGATTATTATTTCTATCTTAACGTGATTCTGGACCTGCCATTGTGTATCTGTTCCTACCAAACTCAGCCCGTCGAAGCAGATGTCCACTTGTCCTGAGCCTGGTTCTGCTAAAGGTTTCTTCCTCGTTTTTCCTTTCCACTGTCACCTCCGTGCTTGCTCAAGAAGGCGGTCTGTGATGGAGTTAAACTCAAAGCAGTCTGCTCCTCAGATTAATAATGTTAAACTATTATTTTTATATATGAATGTTTCTGTTCAGCGCCCTGAGACGACTTCTGTTGTAACTTGGCGCTATATAAATCAACTGAATTGAATTCAAGGAATTATTTTTATCATTTAGCTAAATTATTTTAGGCATTGTTCACCACCAACTCATCCGCATTTTAAATGGGAACGTTATCCAACAGTTCTGCAAAAAAACAGTTTCAATACATCTTTTGTCTCTTAACAGTTCAGTCAGGAACAAGCACTGAGCAGTAAATGCTGTTCTAATCAAAAATGAACACAGCTATAGGCTTACACAATAACCCCCTTAAATGGACTTCATATTTTAACAGTCTGAGTTTTTCATGAACTTTTTATGTCTTACATAAAATGTTGGAGTACAGTCCTTCTCAGCTGATTAGCTCTGAGGAAAATTATAATGTAATGTTGTAGTTTCCTGTAGCTTGGTTCAAAGCTAATATCTGTTATCACTTTAAGCACGGACGTGCATGTGCCCGTCATACTTGAGCCGCACAATCTAATCGGTGCTGTTTATATAAGACACAGTCTGTACAGTAAGTCTGTGGAGTACAGTATTGTGTCCGTGTTTATACAGAAACAAAGTGCAGGATGACGTGTGCGAGTCGCTGAAGAATGGAAGAATGTAGGAATGTAGAGGAACGTATAGAGGGAAAAAATCTGAGGTATGAGGTGCATCTTTACTTAAAACTGATTTGGAAACGTTATATTGCCAACCATCTGCACTACAATAGTAATAAACATACTTTTGTTAAATTAAGTTTTACTGCGACTTATGCAGGAAAAAAAGTCAACGTGGTTAACGAAAAGCTGTGATGTCTGCAAGAAAATCTCTTAAAACTTCCTAATCGGTTCGTATCGTTTCCCTCTTGGCTCTCGCTGTGTCTTATGGGAAATAAGAGTCATTAATCTAAAGCAGATTGATGAAGCAGCTCTCACTGGAATACAGGCCCTGGAAAGTGTGTGTGCGGGGAGGTCTAGGGTCAGTTTTGGGAAACTCTGCTCCGTTTGCCATTTACTCCACTTCCTTTCGCCAGAGAACACAAAAACCCACTGCTTGTACGTGTGTTTCCTCTTAAAAAAGCTCAGATCAGGTAGAAAAAGCAGAAGCTGCATTCTGCTGCTGCTCTATCCTCTTCCTATGTTCTGTACGATCATCAAAAGTTAAAACAAAATGTGTATGTAGCAATGCTACAATGACCCTGAAGGTCATATTGTAGGAGCACGTGGGAAAAAAATAAAGAAAGAGCATAAGAAAATAACTCGAGTGATAAAGCTGAAGACAAAACAGATGAATAACTGGGAATTAGGTCTTGTGGATAAACTAAAATCGAAAAAAAAATGGTGTCATTTCTCCGAGTGAAAATAAAAAGGTTGCACTGAACACGTGGAGCCGTCGAAAACCACATGTAGAAATGCAGGAAACAACGTTCGAATCTCGCTGCTGTCAACCTGTGAAGGTCTCCTTCACATTTACATTCAGCTGTTTAGTTACGCTTTGCCCTGAGGGTGTGAAAGGAGTTAAATACAGGTTTGACTGTACTGTGAGCAGACCGTCTCTAAAGAACCTGCCAAAGACGAATACCAGTGAAAGACTTGAAAAAGAAGAATATGTACGTCATTTAAAGTGCATTTTCTTTTGACAGCATATTTAAACTTGTGACTTCCTGTGGGTTTATTTTGCATCTCTGCAAGAGACTGATTAAAACACTTAAAAGTGTTCTCAGAGGGTGTGGTATGGTGTAGAGCTAGCAAGTGTTGCTGATGAGCATGTGAACAAAAGGTTGGTAAAGCGTCAGTGGCGTGTGTGTGTGTGTGTGTGTGTGTGTGTGTGCGTGCGTGCGTGAGGCTGACCTCTGCTTATCCTCTGTTTCTCTCCTGACAGGATTCCAGGAGTATCAATGATACTGATGCTCTCCAGGACAGGGTTAGCCAACTGTGCGCACATGAACCTGAGGAGGACACACAAAGAAACAAAGAGGCACAGAAAGAGAGAAGAAGAAAACAAGTGAGGGCACGACACACACAAAAGAAGATGTGGGATAAGGGTAGAGGAGAGAAAGGGAGAGAACAGAAGACCAGTTGAGTGAGATTGTTTATACCAAAGCCTGACATTTAACATCACTCTGGAGCATTTCAGGCACTAACGGTTCTCACACACTTTGCTGGAGGTGACAAGCAGCTACTCTCACACACACGCACAAGAACAAGAACACTAGCGTGGGAGAGGGAGAAATAATCCCATTTTCAACACCTGTTGAGTTCAAACAAATGCTTTTTGACTAAAAAGTACACTTTACAACAATGTACTGTAATTTAAAAAAAACTAATGGCTACTTTCAGTTAGTTCATGGTCACAATTGTCTTAACGTTTGGTTAATAGAGATAATGGGAACAAACCCCTAAGGGCTTCATGTTGTCACATTTAATTGTGGTAATGAACCTTCTGTAACTTTTGTAGAGAAAAGGTCAATCATTCAATTGAAAACAACAGAACTAAAGGGGCATCTCTGCATAAAAAATGAACTCATCGTAAAAATGAACTGGTTCGACAGTCATTCGAGGCATGACATAGTTTTAAATTAAATCTAATTTATGGTGTACCTGTGGGATTGCTGTGGGGCTTGGCGTGCAACTTGATTTGTGTCAACACGTTCATTTCTTTGCCACAGGATTGTGCTTCAGTAAGACCAAAATCTACACCGTTAAAGCAGCAACCATTTCTTTTACAGCTAACTTAATAAACGGCATTGTGTGAATCTGCTTGCTAAACCCAACATGAACTCAGAAAGACACCATTGATCAACATGTATAAGCTAATCCATGAACTTCACTTATTCCTTCTTCTGTTTTCATGAAGAAATTATGCTTCGAGCGATCAGGGCACAAGTGTGCACAGGTATTAAATCTCTCCTGTAGTTTAAAGTTGAGGTTGTGAGTTTATCCGACGCATGATGCATCAATCAAGCTCAACTAATTAATTGTTTGGGCCCATTTGACACTTTAAATATTGTTTAGATGTTTTTCCCACGACAAAGCAAGACGATATGACGATGCCGACTCTCCGAACAGCACAGAGAACTTGTTTACAGAAGACCCCACTGACGTTTGAATGATTATACAAAAATATGTTGGGACAACAAACTATAAGCTTTAAGAAATTAAAGACCCGAGTCATTCAGCGTCTCAGGCTGTTGAAGTGAAACTTAAGGTCAAAAGAAGAAGGGTCACACACTCCGACAGACACACACACACACAGAATAAGAAACACTACAAAGTGTGACGGGATGACTTGTTTTACGTAAACCCAGAATGTCCAACTCACAAAGGGAGATTGTAAAGACATTCCACAGCTCGGAGTTTTATTTCTCGCTCTGCTGCCCCTTCAGCCAAACAGAAACGGTACTCCCAGCATGAGCTCAGAGGCACCAGGTCATAAGATCGGGAAAACCGTGCTTTCACATTCCTGCTGCAACCACACACACACACCGCAGACCCTAACAGAGGTCTTATACCACATGCAAAGGGAAAAATGGGAAAAAAAAAACTACTTGAACCAAGTCAGTAAAGAAAGAATATTCCCTTCTGGATAGACTTCCTGTGCCTGGTGTTGTATTACAATAACAGTGACCAACAAAGACAACTTTTTGTCCGCCTTCCCCCTCATATCTGGTATTTTATGACGTTCAGTTGGAACTTTGGTTCAGATTTTCCAATCATCCCTCTGTCACAACATTTCTCCACATGGAGCTTTGTAAGAAAACCTATTCGGATCACCTCCGGTTGAAATTCTCAAACAGAGATTATTGTGGGAGTGGAAGTCCAAGAACTCATCCGAGACAGTTTACTGTGCGAGTGGCTCTTGAAGATGGGAGACTTGTTTCCTCTGCAAGGACAGTTCAGAGCGAGGACATTTCCCATCAAATTTGCTCTATAAATTCTCTCCACCTCCGAGCAAAGGGTCTTCCTCTTCTGCTCCAACTCTTGACCAGCAGTCATCCTCCACATCGTAACCTCTGCTTCCCGTAGTGAAGAGGAAACAGGGCTGTCCCTACTGAGCATGTGAAGAGGAAGGTTAAAGCTGTGTCACTTTTCCCACATGTTTTCTACATCAAATATTAGCCCGTGTAGGTGACGAAATTACCAACGTCTCCACGAGTGATGGTGCGTTTATGTATGTACCGTAATTGTTCTGTAAGGCTAAACGAGTATTGGCTCTACCTCAGTAAAGTGCAGCGTCAGCGTCCGGGAACAACAGGACACAACAGAACAGGACAGTGAGAGCCGGGGTGGGTCAGAGCGGAACTTGAGCTTTGCTGACTCCAGTTTTACTGACTAATGGCTTACAGAGAGTGCAGAAATATACTGGGGCCCTCAGACTGCAGTGGCATGCAAATTCAAAGAAAGCAAGAAGAACTAAAATCTACATTTGGCAGGACGTGTGAAGAGGTATTAAACTGCTTTAGTAGAAACACCTGGCACAGAAATTATTGCTTAAGCAACAAAATCTACTTTACACAAACAAGGCAAATAAAAGTCATGTGCAACAGGTTTAAGTTTTTAAGATTGCCAAAACTACAAGTGAGCTCAACGTGTGAAGATCCCACAACTAATTTGTGTTTACCATCCTTATAAATAACTGGTTACACAAAGGGAAACTCATCTGAGCCTGGTAGTTAAGAGCTAATCTTCAAGTTAAATAACTATAGTTATGAGTCTCACAGACGAGGTGCATTCATCGACTCTTTATCTTCTGTCTACTCCAACTTGACACTGAATCAACGACAGACTTGTACAGAAACTTCTGGCAAATTAGAGAAAAGTTGTCAAATACCCAATTTAAATATTTTTTAGTATTTTGTTTGACAAAGTTTGTTAGTTATTTTAAACCAGTTATTGGCTAGGACCCATTTTATGAACAATCAGTGGTCAGACCATACATTCATTCATTCAACCATTATGTATACAGGTTAGTCTCATTGAGCCACGAGGACTCATTTACAAGAGAGACCTGTTTTAAACAAAGAGCACAGATGAGGTATAGACAACAATAGACAATCATATAAAAAGCATATAAAATGAAAAAGTAAATAAAACAAATTAATTTAAAAAGTTACATTATAAAGCGGTGTAAAATACAACTACTGTGCCGTCTGCATAGAAAGATAAGGATGCATTAGGAATAATCTGATCTACATTACTTATGTAGATTGTGAAGAGGGTGGGTCCTAATATTGAACCTTGTGGTACACCATTGTTAAGTTAGATAACATTAAGAAATACCATTATGTTGAACACATTGCCTCCAATCTGAGAGACAATTAGAGAACCAGCCAATAGTGTGATTTGAGAAACCAATTTCAGAGAGCTTATGACACAAGATGTCATGGTCCACAGTGTCAAAAGCTTTAGTCAGGTCTAAATAAAGTGCAGCTCAATGGTCCTTAGCATCCAAAGCTTCAACATTGTTAAAACCTTCAGAAAAGCAGTCATTGTGCTGTGTAGTTTCCTGAAACCAGATTGATGGGGAGGCAAGATGATAATAATCCAAACACTTATTGATTTGGGAGCTTATCAATTTTTCTAAAACATTAGCAAGAATAAAGAGTTTAGAGACTGGTCGATAGTTGTTCCATTTGGTGAGGAGGTAGAACAAAAGCTGTTTTAAAAAGGCATTTGGAATGGTATTTGGGGTTTGAACAGATTAAAGATGTGAGACACCAGTTCTGCGATGATGTGTGTGTACAATAACTTGAAGATTAGTAATATGGTCTTTAAGTCAATGTCCGACTACTCAAACCTCCTGAGACAAAGATTTCAACTGAATTTATACACAGTCACAAGCTCCATGACGCAAAGGACTTCTCCCAACAGTTTGACAAATTATGCAACAATGAACAATAGCCTGTTTGTTTATACACAGCCTTATCTGGTTTCCTCTGAAGTATTTAATAAACTCTGAGAGGGGAATTATGGCCTCCTGTGAAGTCAAACACCCCCTACTCTTTTAAAGAACTATGGAAAAGCATGACTTCATATTTAATACTCTGAATTATGTTACTTGGAAGGAGTTTGAAGTCGTGGAAGATGAAGGCAACACTCAACAAGGAAGGAATGCCAAAAAATACAAGTACTGGTAAATCAAACTGAACAAGTCTCAACCCGAGTATTTTTCCTATAACTGTACAGCAAAAGACCAATAATACACGAGTTGACACCGACAGCAGATCAGGATCACAACGGTCCAATCTGTCATTAAATTGGTCAAAAATGTGTCCATCAGTTCCTCTGCAGGGTGACACCATGTTATCTCCCACTGAAGAGGGGACATCCCAACTTCCTCTACAGGAAGTTACTGGATCAAGACTCACAAGCTCCACTACGAATCCACACAGTGCAGCAGGATTCAAGTGTTTTAGCTTTCACTCATTCAGGCTCTGGCTCACAGCGCCTTGCACTCTTGACTCGGACAGGGGAGGAGCTCAGTTTGTAAAATCAGTGGAAAACTAGGAGCCTTTCAAGTGTCCTTGGTTCTTGTTTATTATAAAGCACGCCATTAACTACAACTGTGTTCGTTATTTCTGCTTTTACGCCACAGATTATTTAGTAAGTTTCATGTTGCATTTACTGTGTTGCATTACTGCAAGTAAAAACCCCATGTGGGAGAACTCTGGTGACTCATTTGAATATTTGGAATAACTAAGTTTACACATCAGACAGAAAATCCATTTTAATGACACTTTGGAAAATGCTAAGGAAGTTTCTAAATACTCTATCCTCTGGACCACAGAGCTCACCAAACAAACACCGGTGAGTTGAACTATTTTAACAATGATGGTGAAACACCTGCTAACTCATTCATTATTCAACCTTTATTTATACAGGTTAGTCTCACCGAGTCACGAGGATTCATTTACGAGAGAGACCTGTAAATCAATCTACTGATGCAAATGTATCACGCAGTATACAAAGAAATCTTTAACCCTTTGTGATAAACTTCATAGTACACGCTCACAGGTTAAAAAGGAGTTGGCCGATGAATTTATGCTGATGTGGAAATACTTAGAAGAACATGACGCTTACGGCACTGACACAAGGTCAAGTTCCCAAGCAATGTAGCTTAAAACTATTTTTATGTTTAAGCTACTATACTGTAACATGACGACAGAAAAGCGTCTATAGCAGCTGGTCTTTAAAACTGACGCGTACAAAGTAGATACTTTCATTCTGCTGAAATTTAACCACAGGGTCTGGTTCACAAGACATTTTTTTTGAGTCCATATTTGGACTGGGGTCTGCCATTTGGGAACCCCTCTGAATGAAGGCAGTTGCAATAGTACTCTTAATGGCAAGAGTAAGTCTAAAGTGAAAGAACATCAGCTTTGTGTTATATGGATAAGATACTGGAAAGCACCTCTTTTGCTTTGCTGTACTCAGGGTCCACCTGTCCACTGACAGTAAGCATGCACTTTCGCAAAACATGATTAGAGGGACAATTCTCACACACTTGGCATTTTTCCCCAAAGATTACACAACAGCACACAGTGAACTTGCTTTTTTTTTTTTTTTTTCAAAGGTGTGGTTCATGTTAGTACTTGCAGCATTTAAATCCCATATGGTGTCTGAAAGTTCATTCTTCACACATCTGCACAAACTGTGTTCAAGCGAAGCGTGGCAATCACGTGACACGGAACAATTAACAACTTTAAGGGTTGTGGCAGCTCATTTGGTACAATTATTATTTTACTCGCTTTGCTTTAAGTTGAAGTTTGAAGACTTGTTAGTGGCGTTACCTGTTGAGAAACGCGTTTCCAAAGGCGTTGAGTTTGCGGAACGGCTTTTTCGGGTCTACGACCAGGGCATTGCCGGGTATCACGCCCTCCTGCTCGCCGTGCATCACAGCGATGAAAGAGTCTGTGGTCGGCTCAGGGCCAATACGCATACCGGGGAAGTCCTGCTCAATGAGGTGCCGGATGAAGGTGGTCTTACCGGTGGAGTACTGGCCCACCAGGAGTACCATGGGCTTGTTGTCGAAGTCGGCATCTTCGAGTGCGGGGGAGTGGAAGTCGTGGAATCGATACGTGTCCTCCAGCGGGAACAGCTTGGTTCGGTAAAGCCGCCGCAGCCCATCCGACACGTTCTGGAACAGCTCGGGGTCCTTTTTCAAGGTTTTCCTAAACATCGTTGCTAAATTTCAACCCTCAGTTGACACTGCTGTGCCAGTCTCCCCTTATTGTCGAATGTAGAGAGGTGTGGGTCTCTCGCGCCGCTAAGAGACTAGCTGCCTGCCGCTGGAGTGAAGCTACGACTGGGGCGAGGTCTGGAAGGGTTTTTTTTATCCCCACCCTCTTCGCTGAGCTAGCCAGTGGCCACGCACTACGAGTCGGTAGTCATTAAAGGGAGGACTCCCCCTTCGGAAAATTTTAAGTTAGGGTGAGTCACTCAGCGGATCTCCACCATAAACACCGAACTGTACACGGATATAGTGGATATTTACCGTTTAACGCGACACGAGTGGAGGTGGAAACCATTAGAACCTTTTTAACTAGCTACTCGCTTAGCAACCCGGAACATTAGCCACCATAACGGATGACACGCGGAACCGGAAATGCCTTCAAATTAAAAGTCGAAGTTATGGCCTCAGCTAATCTCATTGTTTTATTCTTTTTTTTATTTATTTATTATTATTCTTTTCCTATTTAAGCCAGTTTGATAGACATAAATAAACAGACACGTACAAATCAACTTTATTTTTACAGCATCATAAATGATAATGTATTCATACTTTTGTTTTCTACTTTTTTATTAATTCTGCTGAATTATGAAATAGCCTTCCGCCTTATTTTAACCTTGTTTAGGTTAAGAAAATAATAATGAATAAATTAAACAGCCACAAACCATGTCAACAAGATTGTGGTGTATTTCCAATTGTGATTCGTGGTTATTTATTTATTTTTTATCATATATACAGATATTTTGACCATTGGTAATCATGTGTCACATGTTGCTTAATTTACATATTTTGTAATTTTTTTCTTCATTTTAATTAATTTAAGTCCAAGAACATGCATGCTGCCTTCAGACCGTAGGCTTCCCTTGAAAAAGAGATCTGTGATCTCAATGGGACCTGTAGGTCTCTTTATACTTCTTATAAACTAGTTTGTTTTTACATACAGCCAATATGCATTCAGATGAATAGGCAACATAATTTCACCCATTATTCCAATAAACAAGAGTGAATTCAATTCCAACTATAAAAGAGAAAATATGAATTCCTGTATGACCCATGATATTGAGAACTGTGTGCTTTTGGTTTTAGTTTCAAAGTGCGTCATCAAATTGAATACTGGTACAGTAATATCTAAATGTAACTTCTGTTTTGGTTTCACTTGTATAATAAGTGCTTAGGAACTTTTCATGGTTGGGGGTGTAATATATATAAAAAAACAAGTGAGTTAAACACAAATAACAACTTACTATTACCTACTGGATGTATTTCTATTCTATATATTATTTCATGTAAAGTTACATTAAAATATAATACAGTATGGAAAAGATAGTCATCCCGCAAATCATATTTCTTGACTTACTTGTTCAGTCACGATTAAAAAAAAAAAAAACAGATCAACAACTTTACTCACAAAATGGCTTTTATTTTATATCGAAAACAACCTCTGAATGAACATAACTGTAGTTCCAACTATAAAAACAACAAAAAGAAAATGAAAGCAGAAGTCCATGCAGCTGTTGGTTGATGAGAGGTGTCCCTCCACAAATAACAGCAGCTCCACTGGAAGTCTGAGTTTTTCCACATGGAGTTGCTGTTACAGCTGGTGAGACCCACTGGGGAGGAACAGCTGACACATTTAAAGGAAAACCACCACCACCTTTTGCTCACATCTACTATTTAATGAGACTAAACCATAAAGTATTTTTTTCTTTAAACACAGCCTGTTGTGTTATGCATACATTTAAAACTATTAGAGTGGAAATTTATCAAATGTGGCACCAATGTGACAAAAGTTCAATCCTCCTTGTGCCCTTTGGTCAAGGCCTGTTCATGTGATATAATGCTGCCCTCTTTTGTTCACTTCTTGCTCAACACAAGAATTTACATCATTTTATTGCATATTTTATATTTCAGGCCTTCATGTGATACCAGCCCCACTGGGAAGGTTTCGTAAAACATCAGCCATCTAATCTTGTTTTTTTACTGCTTATAAGATTACAGTGTACTCTTTGACACCAATATAAATCAGGGTCATTTACTCTGTAAAGTGTACAAGGAGCTGGATCTGAGCAAAAAAAACAAACAAATAATCTTATTTAACTTGATGTTTCACACGTAGGCACACATTTCCTTCAGCACATCTCTTCTCCTTAGTTTTCGAGAACTTCCCTTGACTCATTCGGTGAACTTTGACCCTTAACTTTGTCCTCTGTAAAAGAAGAAGGAAAAAAGCAGAGCCATAAAGCAATTAAAATGTAAACTAAAAAGACCTTTATCCCTATTGTATTCCTCGACTTTGCCCACCTGGCCATGTTCGTTTTTTTTTTTTTTTCCTCCAAGATAATTTCAGTGTGAACGGCTCTTGGTGTTTATCAGCGCTGAAAACGTGTTTTAATAAAAACGTAAAGTCCGGTAATAGAGTGACAATTTGTGCAGTAACAACAAATAAATTGGCAGGTCTTAGAAAACATTTAACTTCTTATTTAAAGTTAAAATATCATCAAAATCTACAGATACATATTCAAACTAAATAGGGGTGTAAATTAATTACTAATACTTATCAACCTTTAATAGAACAGAATCATGTTTTTTTCTAACAGTTTTTTTAAGCATTTGTATATTAATTCAATTTTCATTCAAACTACATATTTTTTTCAATAAGTCATTAAGTTCTCTTTGAATTCAAAAGCAAACCTGCTTGAATTTTGACCTGTAATTGACATTTTGCTTCTCAATAAATATTATTTGCATTTCTACCAAGTTAAGTTGCTCATAATGTGAATAAGTTGTTAATATTTAAACAACACTAAATAAAAACAGCATTTTGAAGCAATGTGAGATAAATGCAGCATGAAACTATCGTTGAAGAGTCTACAACTTAACTTATAATGAATTAAAGGGGTATTTTTATGCTATTCAGTTTGAAATGGATAAATAAAGGTCAAACTTACCTGATAAACTCTGAAAATATGATTGTGCTGAGTGAGAAGTTAGAAAAGTTAAAAAAAAACAGACACAAATTTGAGAGAAAACAAATAAATAGTAAATGTAAGATAAAACAAATCAGACTGTGGACAATCTTCTGAAATTAGAGAGACTCGAGCAGAGGGACAGATCTGCGTCTGAGCAATGGCAGACTCGTGATGGAGGGCTGCTTAAGACTGCGTGGGGGAGAGAAAAATTAATCATTACACTTACTGTAAATATGTAACAGGCTCAACCTGCGCATCAAGTCAGCAAATTATATTCTGTTTGAACGCTAAGAACACACGATCAAATCAAACGAGCCAATGAGAAACAAACTGCTGCACCTCAGAGGTCCTCAAATGGTGAACTGCAGGCTGGATCTAAATTAAGTCTGTTTTGGGAAATTGATATATTCAGAAAACAAAAATTGTATTTTTTATAATATGCAAAATATACATCCATTTAATTGCACACATCTTCCTGGTTTTACAGTCATTCATGTAAGGCAGCATTGATTTTCTACAACTTACTGTAATTGTTTTAAATTCAAAAAAGTTAAATCTGGTCCTCTGGACATTCAAACAAACAGATGGATGAGAGACGAAACATTTCTACATTTTTTTGTTGATTTGCTTTGTTTTGTTTTTTTGAATGTCCAGAGGACCAGATTTAACTTTTTTAGATTTTTCTACCTGGATTATTGAGCATGCATCAGGATGTTTTAAATTCAATTCAATTCAAAAATACTTTATTAATCCCAGAGGGAAATTAAGTGTTGTTGTAGCTCATCATCCTGGTTCTATTCAAGAGTTGTTAGATGCTGATAGCTGTGGGAAGAGAAGGATCTCCTGCAGCGAATACGAAGAATCTGGCCACAGATACCGATCCGTCCACCCAGATCCAGCTTGCTGTCAGATCAGGCGGACCTCTCGGTCCTCCTGGGCAGCAAGGCCGCCCGAATGCTGGGCAGAATTCCTCCCTGAACAATGGTCACTCCTCCCAGCAGTCTGCCGAGCTCCTCGTCGCCACAGACAGCTGAAGGTGCCGGGGGATGATCCCGGTCCTCCTGATGTCATGAGCCGAGTTTCCCATCTCCAGAATCTCGGCGGTCAGGCTCTCGAGCACCGCCATCAGGTTGACAGGAATTTGTCCATGGAGTCTCCTTTTCAACTCATTTGGGATTTGATGCTGTAGTTGAGGTATTTCAGCTTTTGAGATGTTAATCAGCTGCTCCTGGTTGTTAAAAAACACCTTGTTGTCATGGTTACGCATCATAACAAATGCCCAAAATTCAAATTCAAATTCAAAAATACTTTATTAATCCCAAAGGGAAATTATTTGTTGTTGTAACTCGTTATCCTCATTTCATTAAGAGATGTTATAGATGCTGATGGCTGTAGACAGGAAGGATCTCTTGTAAAGGTCCATCCCACAGTGGATCCTAAGAAACTGGCTGCAGATGCCGTCCGATCCGTCCACCCAGACTCTGCTGGCCTCTCGGTTCCCCCGGGCTGTAGAACCACCTGAATGCCAAGCAGAACTCCTCCCAGAGCGATGGTCACTCCTCCCAGCAGTCCGCCGAGCTCCTTGTAGCTGCGGACAGCCAACTGTAGGCGCTGAGGGACGATCCTGTCCTTCTGCTGTCATGAGCCGTGTTTCCTGCTAGTTCCAGGATCTCAGTGGTCAGACACTCGAGCACAGCTGGCAGGTAGATGAGAATGCGTCCACAGAACATCCTTTCAACTCGTTTGAGATTTGGGGCTGTAGTTGAGATATTATTTGAGCTTTTGAGATGTTAATCAGCTGCTGCTGGTTGTAGAAAACTGCCTTGTTGCCATGGTTACGCATCATAACAAATGTCCAAAACTAAAAAAGTTTCAGCAAAAATCCTTCCAGCTGCACAGCATCCAAAGGAAACAATCATCCAAAAAAACATGATTTACATCCAGAAAAAGAATAATTAAAGTTTCCAAAAGCAATAACTCAGAATGAAAGTAACAGAGCTGCTCCAACATGCAGCCACCTTGAGCGGCGCAATTCTAGAATTTTTAGAAAAAAGCAGCATATCTTAACATTTATGGTCATTCAGTGTAAGTGGCACAGCTTTTCTAGCATTTACACTAATCATCTGGTTCAGCCTCTGCTTTTTTATTCAGGAAGAAGCTGCCAGCCTACAGAGAGGGAAAGACCTAAACAAACAATATGGTGTGAGAAGAAAACTAAAATGGAGACTTTGATTCCTCTACAGTCAATAAAATAACTGACAGAAGTCATACATGTGAATATTTATAACAGAGTAAATAAAATAACTTTAAAGCCAATGTTTCACACTTTAAAAATCAAAATCTTTAAACAAAATAGATATTTACCTATTGTTTTGTATATAAAATATTACTACAAAATGATGATGTTTAAGTCACCTTCAATATTGTTTTAACAGTCAGGCTGATGATCATTTTCTTGACTGAATTTGTGAGAAACAACTCATGGTAAATGCCAATATAATATAAAACAATATAATATAATATAATATAATATAATATAATATAATATAATATAATATAATATAATATAATATAATAAAATAATGTTAGAATTAGACCAGCTACTTCTGTTTCTCACTTCTTCTTTTTTTTTCAAAATCATTATTCAAAACTAAAATGCTTTAAAAATATTTTGGGTTCTTTGTTCATTTACGCTGAAAGCCTACTTTTTTATTTAGAGAAAATTATATTTTGTATTTACTTTTAGTTTTTCACATTATTAAAGCCAAGTTTAAACATTTTAATAACGAGCATGAAAACAACATTCTGTCTAAAATATTACAAGCTGGCTTAGAAATGTATGTACACATATATATATATATATGTGTGTGTGTGTGTGTGTGTACGTGTGTGTGTGTGTGTATAATAAAATATTATAAAACTTTTTTTATTCTATTAGGCTTTATAAACTTTGTAGTTTTAAAATAATGGGATAAAAAATTAACTGACCAAATCCAGCTTCCACTTAAAGTATAATTTACTGAATTTAGATGAGGTTATAGATAATCGGACAGGTAGTTATGAAAGAGTTAAACCGGTATTGTAAATATAATTGAAAAAAAAACAACTATTTTTAAAAAATAAGAAAAATTCTATTTTACGATATTTTTGGTCCACTTGGCTTTCCGTACAGTTGAAGTGGCGTAAACTGATGTGTGAGTATCCAAACAGCGTCTGTCTTCCAGAGTATTAACATTAATAAATAATGAATCTTTAAAGCACTGACAAAACTTACTTGTCACTTAACCTGTAAGCTATAAAAAGTAATAAATCAGGTGGGGTTTAATTCACTAGATCGTTTTATTAGTTCTATCCAGTGAAGCTAGCTTCGTTAGCAGCAATAATGCTAATGTTAGCTTTTAGCGTTATTGCTAAATGTTGACACAAACCTGACGAGCTGGCATAAAAACGGTTTTCGAGGAGGCTAATGTTTAATGCAGTTGTATGCCTTAAAAATACGGTAATGTTTTGATTTAAATATCAAAGTGAGTAAAAATGGAAGCAATCGTCACCGAGTGTTTCGCTCATTTCATTAGCAGTAAACGTTAAAACAATGTGCCCGAATTCAAGTTGATGAATTTGTAAAATTGTGTTGTTTCAGGTCAAAATGGCAGAGCTAACAGCTCTAGAGAGCCTGCTGGAGATGGGCTTTGACAAAAACAGAGCGTGAGTGACACAAAACCTAGAAATGTACTATATTTATGAAGGTTATAACTTTTGAGACAGGCCTTAAAAATGTGGAAGCAAAACTGTCTTATGCCTCGTTTGTCTTTTTCAGGGAGAAAGCTGTAGCCAATACAGGAAACCAGGGAATAGAGCAGGCTATGGACTGGTGAGTCTGACACAGTTCACATTATTAATCATTAAGTTTCCCCTTTAATTAGAATGCAGGACAAGGCTTTTTGTTGAAATCATTTCTTATTAAAAAGTATTTAATTTCGTCTGTGCTGAGGTTCCAAGCGAGCTGAGCCAAAACTAACCAGATTTCAAAGTCAGGTCTTCAGACTGAAGAAGTCTTTTTGGGTAAAAGACAAAATGTTTTAACAAAAAAAAGAACTTGTCCAGAGGACCTGACTCATCCTTGTTAGATTTATTTACCTGGATTACTGAGCATGAATCAGGAGAGAAACAGAGGTGTCTTCAATCAGACAATCCTCACCTGTAGATGCAGCAACAACTTCTCTGGAGCAGCAATGAAGATAGTGTCCTTAGTAGAAAGTGTGATGTTTTATTTTTCTAAAAAAAATTGTGTCTACAGTTTTGAAAGTTTTAGGTTTGGGTTGATGAACATCAGTCTGGTGCCTCGTCTGTGTACACATATGGTGCAAAAGTAGGGGTTTAGTGGCTGCCCACAAACCTCTGTGAACACACAGTGTGATGTTTAATTTATCCAGTTAGAAGCACAGTAAAAAAAAAAAAAAAAAAGGGTTCAGTCAATCTAAACTAACCTAACTAATGGTATTTGGCTATTCTCACTCTTAATAATCTACTTTCTTTAGGTTAATGGAGCACGAGAATGACCCAGACATCGATGAGCCCTATGTGCCACCTGTGGTAAACGTCCTGGGAGAAGCAGAACATGGCCAGTCCAACACAGAGCAGGCAACCACTGAAGGTCAGGGCAGCTTGTGTTTTTAGGGAGGACACTCAAAATATCATGATATTGTAAGTGAAGTTTAGGTGGAACAAGTAACGTTCAAACAAAAACATATATCTGACAGTAAACATTTTGTTGTAGTATTTATAGCATGTTAGCTACAACTTTGACACTCCAGAGTCTGTTATTGTAATAGAAGAAGTGTTGTTTGTATATGTGTAATTTAATACATTTCATTCATGTATTTGAAGGACAAAAGCACCATTCCAAGTTAGTAAATATATATTTTTAGAGCTAATAAGGTAAAAAATGTTAATTTAATTTAATAAACTATGGTGCTAGTCTGATTTTAGTAACTTTCACCGTGAAAGTCTGTGGTCCCTTCATTTTGGTTTTCTGTGTGTTTAAAGTTGTCGACTTACCGTGTTCATGCTGAGTGAGATGTTTATTGTAGATCATTCGAGTGGGAGGCTTTTTGTGTTAATTTTTGTGTAGGTTGACAGACACCCAACATTATGTCCATTTCATAATACTCTCTTCTTTTGACACTTTCTTACGTGATTTGTTTTGGTGGCAGAAAACGCAGATGGAGACAACACTGAAAACCTGGAGTTTTTAAAGCGGCCAATGACCGAGGAGGAGAAACGTGAACAAGTCAAAAGGTCAGGAGCATTTTTTGTAAACGATTATATCACGAGGCTATTAGTTTATTCCTGGGTCGTCTCTGTTTCTCAGGTTAGAGGAGCTTATGCGAGTGAAGCAGGCCGAGAGAAGAGAGCGCGAGCGAGCAGAGGAGGTGGAGAGGGAGAAATACCGAAGGAAACAGGGCCAAGAGCTGCAGCAGATCCGTCAGAAGATGCAGGACGATGACATGAGAAATCTTGCTGAGCAGCGGAGGAGAGAGAAGATGGAGGACAAAATGGCCAGGTTACATTTCATTGTGAAACTTAGAATTATAAGTTTGAGTAAAGAGAATTAGGTTTGGATTCATTTCAAATTAAAAGGTCTTGCATAGAAACGTCAGGCTGACACTAAATGTACTGTTCTTAGAGTTTTGTGTTCTTTAATGAGTACATTTGCTAAGATGATAATTTAAGCATTTTACATAAAGATTTGGTTATTTTTTTCTCCACTACTACAGTAGTTCTTAAGCTTCTGATTTCTGATTTCAACTTTTTATTCTTGTCAGGCAAAGGGTTAAAGAGAAAATAGCAAGAGACAGAGAGGAGAGAGCGCAAAAGGTACGTCAGAGGTCATGTTCACTTTTTTGTTCTTTCCCTGTTCATTTTTCTGTCCAACTCTTATCGTGTGTTGTGCTTTAGTTTGGAGGTGGTGCGACTTCGAGCACAGCTGCATCGTCACAGCCGACTTTACCCAGCCCATCATCACCCACCGGTCAGGGCCCTCCACCCACCAAGAAAGAGTACGACGAGTCAAGGATACAGGTTCAGACCTCACACTTTTTTTATCCATCTTTCTGTATAAAGTGTCGTTTGCACAAGATTTACTAGACAAACTGTAATTTAGAGACGATTTACCACTTTTTGTTGGTTTTACAGTGTGACCATTTTTAATGCAGGATGTCTTGATGTTACTCTTAAGTAAAATATTTTTTCTTAATATAATTTATATTCCTAAAACTAAACTTGAATCAAAATGTCACCCGATTATTTTCTTTCTTATTGTGCTGTAGATTATATTGGCTGTCATATGTGTGATCTTATCGTCGTCATTCTTAAGTTTCCATGTCTTTAAAACACAGCAAGATTTCCAAAATTATACTATACCTGGAGAGTTTATGAATTATAGCTGACATCACATAATTATCTACCAGAAAGAGATTCAAACAGTTTATGGTCACAGGTACTCATTATTTGAAGCCTCTGAGTAATGCCAGTCTGCTCCAAATAGTTTTACTTGTCGTCACAGACTGTATCTGAGGATGAAATCAGTGTCCTCAGAGTTACAATGATGATTTAAATTTCATCCCAAGTTCAGATTGATTAGATGAGACAGGCCCTGAGTCTTTGGGCTAATTCCCCTGACAGGTCTGCGTTTTCTCTGCTCTTCCTTAACGTTTGGATTCGTTCTCAGGTTCGTCTTCTGGACGGCTCCACCATCACGACAGTCTTCAAGGCCCAGGAGCCGCTGGCGGCCGTGCGCGTCTACATACAGATGAACAGCAACGTGCCCGAGGGTCAGGACTTCACGCTGCTGTCACCGTACCCTCGTCAGGTCTACACTGAACTGGACATGGAGAAGCCCCTGAAAGAGCTCGGTGAGTGGGGAGCAACGTTCACTTGGTCAGCTCATAGGAAGAACTTGCTTCATAGCTGAAAAGCTGCACAGAACGCACTGAAAAATCCAGCGTTCATCTCGTTGTGTGAATGTTTATGAAGCAGTCGCACTATTGTGATCCATTTTTCTTCAATACGTTTTTCAGCATCTTTCTCGTTCCTAAATTTTCATGCCGTTTCAACAAATATATCCAAACGTTCAGCTCTTTCAGGACAATCCTGCTATGACTTTTGGCACTGGTGCAATTTTAGCTTTTTGAAATATTTAGCCTTTTCTGCCACTTTATTTTTCTCATAGAAAATGAATTGAGCTCATTTTACATCCTTCAAATCTTTAGATCTGTTTATGACCTTTTACTGCTCCTTTCATATTTTGCTCTGGTTCAGCTTCTTTCAGCTTTCTTGTGCAAATTTAAACTTTTTGTTTCAGCTAATTTCAGCTTTTTTCCAGATAATTTCCATTTGTGCTCGTTTCTGCTTCTTTTAGCCTAATTGGGCAAAAGTTTTCTGCTTTCTTCTACCAATTTAAGCTTGTTCTAACTTTTCAGCTAGCTTTTTTTAAGCAAATTTCAGTTGTTTTCAGATAAAGTTTTGCATGTTAATTTCTGCTACTTTAGCCTAATTAACTTCTTTATGCTAATTTCAGCTTATGCTCCTTTCAGCTTTTTTCTGCTAGTTTCAGCTACTATTCAGCTCTTAATGCTAATTCCACATTTTTAAGCTAATTTAATTTCTTTCTGCTTGTTTGATAATTTAAGCTTCTTTTTGGCTTTTCAGCTTTTTTTAAGCCAATTTCCTATTTTTTGTGCCAATTTCTGCTTATTTAAACCTAATTCAGTAAATATGTGTTCTTTCTGCTTTCTTTTGCCAACTTAGGATTGTTCCTACATTTCAGAATTTGTTTAATTTCAGCAGTTTTTCAGCAAATTCTTCTGCAATAAGCATTCACACTGCATTCTCGCAGGAAATGCAATTTCTCTAGTTCAGATTAGTTTTGCACTTTTATTTCAAATATAAATTGTCAGATGGGTAGATGAGCCTTATTTATATATATATATATATATATATATATATATATATATATATATATATGTTTGTTTTTTTCAGGTTTGGTGCCTTCAGCTGTGCTGGTTGTTACCAAAAAGTAAGAAGGATGTGCTCCGTGAGCCTACCTCACCACTTCCACCACACTGACTCCAGACACGCCGGGAACGGACTGATCCAGGAACAGGGCTGCCAGCCAACCAGACTGAAGCTGCGTTCAGACACCGGGAAAAGCTTTTCTTAAAGAGGGACTGAGTGCAGAATTCACGAAGAAGCTTCACAATATGATTTGGACCTCGACTTTTTACAGATCAAAAGCAAAACAGCTGGCTTCTGACTGACACTTCAAAAATAAAAATTACTGTTTCAACAACACAGTACAGAAAGTACAAAGTTCAGTTTTAGCCTTGCACATTACACAACTTCAGGTGGTTCTGACAGGGCCTTAAGTTTAATCCTCATGATCTTCCTGGTTTTGTGACTTTCTATTTTTTAAGCAGTTTCAGATCTGTTGTCACGTATGTAAACATGGTCACCAAGAATCCACTTACAATAAAGCCGACTTGGTAAATTACATTGATGGAGCAGTTTTAATTTTTACATTTCAGGAAATTTACTAGGAAAATAACACCAATAAGTTTTTCTTTGAGTCTTTTTTTTTTTTTTTTTTAGAAAGTGTTCATTTTAAAACTCACTGTTTATGTAAAATTGAACTTTTGCACACACTAAAGTGTTCAGAAGTCAAAATCTACACCATCATTCAGTAATAGTGGATACATATTTTCCCTTCTGTAAAAGCCAGCTTGTCTAGAAAAACAAATTTTTTTATGCACCCTCCTTTCAAGCAAGCGCTTTAATTTTAAACGTTTGACTCTATATTTGTAAAATAAAACATGACTGGTGCAGGAATCAGTTGAATTTTCAGTCTCCTTTAGTAAACAGAAATTTACCACCACATAATGGACAGAACCTAAAAAAGTACTTTTGTGGCTTTAAAACATGTTTATAAACAATAGAAAACACAGCCACCACAGGAACGGCATATAACAGTATTGGTACAATAAAATGTAGAGCTGGACAGAGTGGATGACTTTAAAACATGATCAAAAGGGGCTGAATTGCCAACATATACAAAAATAATTCTGATTAAAATGTAGTTTACTGAAAACGAGTCACGGTGTTCTTCTGTCACGATTTCATCTAAGTAAAATTCACTGAGTTCCTCTCCTCGTCACAAATCCAGGACTGAGATAATCCAGAGGAAGGATGTGGAGGACCGCGGGATGCTGGGATGTGTTTAATCAGGGGGCAAGTCTCGTTTATCTGGCTCAAGCTGCCTCCACAGATGCTGAAGCTCTTTAACTGGGTGGATAATAAGACTGGTTGTAGTTCCAGGGGTTCTGGTAGCCGTAGCTCCCGTAGCTGCCATAGCTGCCGTACTGAGGTTGCTTGAAAAGAAAAAACAAAATTCCTCCCAACTGAGTAAAACCTTTTCAGTTAAATTACAGTAATGCGTAAACGACAGATATTCAGTAAACAGTTTAAAAGTAGTGAAAGTCCTACCTGATACCAGCTGCTGTACGCTCCGTATCCGGCCTGTGCGCTCGTGTCGGTGCCCACCATCGACGGAGGCGGCGTGGTGATGGGAACTTGCGGCGTGGTGGGTGGGGCTTGTTCGGACGTAGCAGCAGCAGCGTCATCGTCACTTTTGAGCATCTTCTGTGGATCCTCGGCTCTTAAAAAGAACCAAAACAAACGAACCTTCAAAAAGTCAGGCCAATTTTTCCCCAAACCGTTTCTTCATTCATACAATGAATGTTTGGATTATTTTCATATGCAATGGCATTTAAAACAATATTTTAGTAGAGAAAACTACCGTAGTAGGAACAGCTCTAACATTTTCCAAACGAGACAAGTCAGGTGTTATGCGGCGTTGTTTGATGATGCAATAGACCCAGAATGCTTTGTGTGTATTTAGTGATGATGGCTTGATGTAAAAAAATAAAAAGTAAACACTTCAACAACATAAATCGATAGAAGTTATTTAAAAATAAGGGCATTTTAGTCTTTAGAGGTTTTTAAACAATTGCAAGTGCTGTGGACAAACAGCTGTATTAGAAAAACACACCTTGCTAAAAAAAAAAGATAAGACTCTTCGACACCTTTCTGATTAACTACTTCAGTTCTTGCAAAAATGTTTATTTCTACCTATGTTGTTTGAGTTTTTCTTCCTCTCACCCATTCTCTGCTTCCCTCTTTGTTCCTCGCAGCTCGTCCAGCAGTTTCTGGTGTGCCTCGTACACAGTCAGCAAACTGCAGAGCAGAGACACGCAGGGTGAAGCTCAGATGGTGGTTTTTAAGATGTTTTCAGGGTGAAGGCTGACCTCTGGATGGAGCTGCTGTAATCCTCGGCAAACTGAAGGCCTCTCTGTGATAAAAGCAACTTGGTGTGTGAGGTGAGAGGAGCTGCCAGAGCTCGCGTCACGCATTCCCGCACAGCGTCAGCTGAGGCCCAGGGGTCGCCAGAAGCCTCCAGCTCCAACAGGCTCAAGTGCAGTTTGTCATTATCCTTATAGGACAGATGAAGTGCAATTAAAATGGAGTGTGACTATAAAGCGATGAAAACAAATCACAGAAAAAATGATAAAACATTAAACTAAGCTTTATTTTTAATCATCTCACCGGACTAATCTCCAGTGCTTCCTGCAAAACTCTGCGGGCTTGGCTGGGGTTTCTGCCCACTTTCAGCAACAGACGGGCCAGCTTGATGGAGTAGAAAGCGTGTAACGTGGGCTTTTCTTTGGATTCTGCTACCGCCTCCGTCAGCAGGGCCTCCGATTGCTCCAGCTGGCCAGCCCGTCTCTCTAAGGTGGCCCTGCGGAGACGTACAACCGCCAAACCGGGAAGGCTCTTCTCCAGGGCCTCCAGCACTCGCCGAGCCTGAGTTAGGTCACCTTTTACAGAAGAATACACAGAAAACATGAGAATAACTAAATAATTTTAAAACTTGTTAGTGCTGTTTGTTCATTCAAGCGACCATCTGTCTTTAACTCTTTATTTTAAAGTAACGTCAACGCTGTGCACTGAAAAGTTGTGAAACGTTCAGAGATTCAGGGAGATTTATTTGTCATTCGCATCTCATGTGGTGGAACGAGATTATGTACACAGGGTCCCAGTTACATCCAATAAAATGTAAAATAAGAGCAATAAGATCTAAGATATGAACTAAGAAAAACAACTAAATAAGACACTAAGCACTAATAGCATAAAAACATTACGTCGAACAGCAGCACGAACATCAATAATGTTCAATAACAACAAAAAAGGTTGAATCATGTCATCTGGACTTCGTTTTTTTGTTAAAAAGAAACGTTTCGCCCCTCATCCAAGAGGCTTCGTCAGTCTGAGACCTAGCCATCTGGTATTACCCAGAAGCCACCCTGACTCTTGTGTTTCAAGCCTGCCTCAGAATGTTCAATAACATTTAAGAGAAGACGTGTTTTCACGGTGTTGTTGTCTTTTCATACCGTGCCTCTCCTCGAAGGTGGCCCACTGCATATGAATATTGGGTTTGTTGGAAAGGTGGATCTCACAGGCTCGTTTGTAAACAGCTCGGGCCTCATCGACGCTCTGCGGCTCCAGGTACTGAACATACTGAGCGCACGTAGGTAAATGTTACACCTCATCACCTGCGCATTTCACAATAACTCAGATTAAACTGTAACTAAGGAGCTTTTTCTTACCCTCATCCAGAAGTCCTCATACAGAGCACAGGCGATCAGGCAGCGCTCAAACAGGATGCGAACTCTGTGGTCGCTATGGGCAACCGCATCACGCGCTGACGTTTCCTGATTCTGGGCTGTGATCTTGGATTCCTCTGTAGCTTCCTGTGTTGGTTCTAGTACAAACAAATATTGGAAAAAAAAATTACAGACACATTCAGACAAGCCCACAAAACAATCCAACACAGATTTTCATTGTGTATGTGTGTGTGTGTGTGTTTACCTTGTGTAGAATTTTTGGTGTCCCTGTTTAGCTCAGAGATCTCCCAGTCCAGGTAAGAGTGCCAGGCCTGAAGCTGGAGGCGATCCAGTGGCTTGACGTGAAAATATGGCCGCTTGATCTGTTGGAAGATGACAACAAAGGAAGTACAGTGTGTTTTTGAGCTGAGGGACAGATAATGTCCATAAACTCTTAAGACTTTAACAGGTCAGTGGGTAAAAGGTTTTATTGAAAACATTACAAACAAAAAAGAAAATAACCTTTTACTAATTAAAAAACAGTTTCAGTTCTTCCTAAGACGCTTCTGATAAACTTGATGCCCATTTATGATTCACTTACAGAATCTGAACCAGGTTTTGATGTTTTTTTGACTCTTAATTTAATGCTGAGCTCCTAAAGACACTTAATGTTCAAGGTTCTTTTGCCTGATCAAAAAGAAGCTTTTGAAAATTAAAAGCAATTGAGTGACAAATAAAATGTATCTGAAAAGATCCAAAATGTACGCAAGAGTTTGAACTATAAGTTCAGCCACGAGTTGTAAAGCAAGTTTACCAAAATAAAGGCGTTTAAAACAGTTTAAAAATAAAAGTTAAAATAAATAAACCAGCAGAAACTTACAGCATCTTCAAAGTTCCACCTCTTACGAACTTCTCCCTCGTTGGCCTCGTACACTTTGTCTCTACGAAGTAATACCTGTTCCCTTATTTTCTGTATTAGTTCCTCCTAAACACAGTAAAATAAAGATTTTTGTCCTTTACTGGTAAATTTATATTTCACCAGTGTGTGTAGTTGTATCTGAAAGAAATCATCAAAGCGCTGCATCTGAGATGTAGTCTTTTACAATCAGAAGGTCAGTGGTTAGATCCCTGGTTTGGGTAAAGTGAAGAAGCATATTTTATTGATGTGAATGTATATCTTGACTAGAACTGCAATAATATTTGTTTTATGGGCATCACTTACTGAGTCTGTGCCCTCAGGTGTGGCAGGCAGTTCCTCCCCCGGTGGCCTCTCCTCGTCAACCTCCTGAGCCTGTTCAGCACGCTCAGCCTTCTGACTCTGTCGGCATAATGTCTTCAGCTCCTCGAACTCCTCAGAGGAAAGCACATCTTTGGGTGGATTGTTGTTCAAGTGTTCTTTAAATCTGACACAAAGGCAGAGGAGAGGACAAGTCATAAATTATAAATGACGAAAGGAAAGCATACTGCGTGTGAAAATCAGACATTAAATCAGAACGTTTAACTTCTTTTCTTTTTTGTAATTCACAATGTGATGAATGTGGCACTCACAAAATCATTACAACATTTCAAGACCCATAGATGAGAGGGGTCTTACTTGTCATAGTGGGTGCTGTAAAGCTGGGTGGGGACTTTGAGGACTCTGTCCAGGACAGCTGCTGCGTTCTTTGCATTCCCTTGCTCCTTTTCCCACTCAATGTAGAGATCCCAAAGTCGATCTGAATGGAAGTCTAGACCAGCTGCTGCAACTGCATCCTCGAACACACTGCGGGTTTGAAATCATCAATTTAAAGAAAGGGTTTCTGTTGACCTGCACCAAATCCTGCTATTTATTTAGGAAAACAAATCAAGTTTAATGACTGATAAATTTTAAAGGCTCTGTTACTACAAAAGGTCAAAACAGTATGCTAAGCTTACTAAATTAATCACTTTTTTTTTAATAAGCTGATGTAAACATAACGTAAAACAAGTACCGTAGCAAAAAATACTCTCAGAAATTAAACGTCGTCAATTTACAGTAAACTTTGATGAATAAAATTCACTCTTGGCTTACAAAACATATCACACCCAATGTGCGTCGGGGCTCAAGTTTTATTTACCTGCGTATCCGCTTGGGTGAATCAGGCAGGTTCATGTCCAGAGTCCCCAGTAGCAGATTAATGTAGTGGATCCACAGATCTATGCTTAGAGGAATCCCCTTAAGACCCCAAATACACACCTAACACAGCACATCACAGCCATGAATGTTAACTGAAAATTTTCAGTATCAACTACACTTGATCCCTGCATTTATAATGTGAAGAAGAACAGAAACGTAAGACCAGTTTTACCTCCTCTGCTTTATTGTTGTTCCCAGAGCGGCGCTCAAGGTCAACATATTTTTTCCAGTAACCATAGCAAAGAGGGTAACGAGCAAGAAAGGCCTCTAGTGCTTTGCGTGAAGCTTCAATGTGTCTCTGAGAAAAATAAAAATTGATACGAGATGTTAAATGATCAAACATTTTGTCACCTCATAGCAGTTCTGACTGATAATCAATTAACTCCAACACATACCTCTTGTTCGCAGTATTGCAGCAGATCCGTCCAGCTGGTAAAGTCTTGAGGATTGTCATGTGCAGCCTTCCACAGACGTTCAAAATCCGCAGGTAGTGTCCCCCCCTCCTCGTGCTCTGTAGTCTGAGCCACAGAGTAGGACTCGGAGTCATGACCTGCAGGAGACTCAGGAGCCACAACTGCACTGCCGTTCTCTGGCATCTCAGGTGGAGGTGGCGGTGGAACCTCAGAGACATTCATGGCTTAAAAAAAAAAAAGGTTAATGTTTATTGGTATAACTGAGTCATTATTAGCTTATTTTAATAACAGAGGACACATGATAGACCAGTGAGCTCATGTTTTTACACCAATTAACACTTTCAAATCAACACATCTGATTCAGCTGTTGAATGAATCTCAAGTTCTGCAGAAACTTTACTAGGGTTAAGCATGGGGGTATTGTACACAAACAAAAAAATACAATAACTTTAATTTCTTAATAATACCCAGCATTCCATAAAGTTAAGTTTAAATTTTAATGCTAAATTCACTGCATATTTCACTTACTGCACATTATTTTCAAAGTACGGTACTTGATTTGATCATTTTAATGTATCTTCTGAAACCTTAAGAAAAACACTTGAGTTTGCAAAAAATAATCATCAAAACCACTTAAAGCAGTGGTCAAGTTTGAGAAAAACCAGCTCAGCTACTGTCGGTTGTGTAGCTTAGCTTAGCCTAGCTTCTCATGCAACTATTCCCAATATGTGGCTTTATTTAATACCAGCGACAAAGTCCTAAACACAGTAATGTGTATAAATGCGTCTAACTCTGGACTGTGTAGTCCTAAATAAAATTACCAGAAGCCTCTTCGAGCTCTACGTTGCCGCTCATCTCCTCCTCAGAACCCTCCGCCGCCATGATGGAGGAGGGGGAATAAATAAAATTGTTGACGTCATCAGGGAGCGACAAAACATGCCAAAGGTAAAAAAAAAAAAAAAATGCGCTCAACTCGACATCCTTAAGTGTAAAAAAATTTTTTTTTTTAAATGTACTAATGTAATTGCAGACGTTCTTTAATAATAATAGTGGTTTTGCGCTGTGTAAATAATTAGTGGTTGAAATTGCCTAAAAATAGGTTGATTAGAAGATCGAACTTGGAATTTAAATAATAAAAAGTTCAATTCAATTCAAAAATACTTTATTAATCCCAGAGGGAAATTATTTGTTGTTGTAACTCATTATCCTAATTTCATTAAGAGATGTTATAGATGCCGATGGCTGTAGACAGGAAGGATCTCTTGTAAGCACCTCATTTCGGTTTATCAGCACTAAGTTAACGTCATGATGAGATGGTTTGAATTAGCTCCTTTTAGAGACATGAATCTTTTACATGCAAGCAGATATATGTCTATACAGTTTTATTTTATACACAGACAAGTATCTTTCTCAAGAATTGTTTATCTTAAATGTTGCATCTTAAATTGTTACATAAAAGAAAAATAAATGAGCCAAAACTGATTTACTTCACATTTGGTCACCTTTATTTTCACTTGGTCTCATCTGTCAGAGTACAAACAGTTTTGACAGCTGAAGTGCAATTCTTTATTTCCGCTTCCATCAGTTCAAGCCTTCAACAAAAAATGCAGCAACATGTATATTTATGATGTTAAAAACAAAACCCCGGGTAAAATCAGATAATTTCACTTGATGGCACAGAGACTCCTTCGTGTCGGTGGCTGAGCCCTGTACATTCAGAGCAGATGTTTCTGTAGATCTGACAGTTGAACACTTCCAGGGACTGAAGCTGACATGCTCATTAGGACAAAACAACTACAAAAACTTAGTAGCACAAGAAAATCTAAAAAAGTCTAATCTTTCCTCAAGAGTATTCAAAAATAGTCGGATCAACCCAAGTTGGAAAAATAACATGATAAAATAGAGAACGCACATCAAAATAACGGTTCATAGTCGGTGGTTCAGTCCCCTGAAGTGACTTATTAAGTCAAGTTTGTTCAAATCAGATTAAAACCCTTCTGTACAGCAGACAATTCAAAACAGGACGCAATGATTAGAAATAATTTCCATTCACACAAACTCACCAGAAAATTATTCAGGGACAGGCCTAAAACATAGATTGGCATGGAGTGGTAAATAAGGATTTATTCCTGTGGCATAAGGAAAATTACAAACTATTCTAAATACATCGGCTCAATTTTTGGCAAGCTCACCTTAAAATTAACCGTGGCACGAGAGAAGGCCGTTCTATAAGCTGATTTAAAGACTTGGCCTAAAGAAAATGGGAATGATTCTGACTTTAGAATCAGAAGGAATCAGCAGCAGGTGGATCTGAATGTGAACCTACATTTTAAACACTAAACAACCCTTTACAGTGACTAGTTTTTTTCTGAGGCAGAATGTATTTAAAAACCAAGAAGTGAATGTAAAAAAAGCAACAAAGGTTATTTTTCCCCAAAACCATATTACTATCTATCTAGCAGTAACTTTGAATCCTTGTTGTCAGGTATTACAGTGTGACTGAACATAAGGAAATGACAAGTGACGTCTCAGCTCATAAACTGGGATTTTTGTGGATTACTACTGCAGTTTATATGTTTTAGCAGATTAGTTATTCTGTTTTCCTGTTCTAGTTAGTCTTAAACATTAGGGGCTTGCATCTACTCCCTCACGTCTCTCTCTTTCTTTCTCTTTTTTCCTTCCATTTTCTCTTGTTTTGGTGGTTACTTAAATGTGATGTTCCAGTCTTCCCCTGCGTTCATGCCGGGCTTGCGGATTGTCAAAACTGACATGGAAGGATCAAATTCAAACTCTAGTTGGCTCTCCTCACCATCTGGCAAAAAGAAAAACAAATGTAAATATTAACCCAGAAAACAGGCGTGCATAAAGACTCTTAAATATTTTAAAGCTGCTGTTTCAATGATACGGTCTGAAACAATCAGCTGTACTATCTTTCTGTTAAGAACTTGGGATTCTTACAGGAGCTCGATTACTGTGTATCTGAAGTCCGTTAAATCCACAGCTACCTTCACATTTCAACATTGTTTTTTTATTTTTATACGATTGCTTTTGTTTATAAACAAATAAATGACTGTATTTTTGCATTATCAGTAACAGTTTGAAAGAAACACCAAAGTTCATGCTCAATAATCCAGGTATAAAATCCAACAATGTTCGGTCAGGTCATCTGGACGGTTTCTTTTTTGCTGAGATGTTTCGTCCTTCATCCAAAGGACTTCTTCAATCCATGGATTCAATGGATGAAGGATGAAACGTCTTAGCAAAAAAAAGAAACCGTCCAGATGACCTGACTGAACATTGTTGGAGTTTGAAAGAAAGTTTCACGTGTAAGCTGGAAATCTGTGCATGCTTGTCTCAGTCTATAAGGACATCTAAAAATTCAAATATTCACATTTAAGCTTAATTTATTTCTATTTGAATGCAACAGCAAAGTGTTTTATCAGTAAATGACTAATGTTGGTGTGTAATAATCGGATTGATTGGAACAAAACGTTTTGGGACATGAGAAGCCATTTTTAAGTGTGTGTGGGGCTGCATGAGTGAGCACAGCTCAAGTTTTCCTTTACAGAGCGACTCTTATCAGCCACAACCAATTATGAAAGAGGAACACAGTGAGAGCCCGAGAGTGCTGAGGGTAAACATGCAACTACAGACAAGGACAGATTTACTGGCTCATTTGAAATTGTCTAGTGGCCAATTAAAAAATGTAAGTAAAATTGTTGCTTTAGGAGTAAAAATCGCTAAAGTAGTAAAATAGGATTTGATTTGTAAGTTTTATGTAATTTACTTAAGTGAAAATGCTATGTATCATCATCATTATATGTTTCCACACAATGATGAAATTTGTGCTCTGTATTTAGATTAGACAGAACTTTATACAACCCTTCCTTAAAGGATTTTTTTATTTTATTTTATTTGACCCCATCACTCGTGAGATACACCCAAGAGCAGCAGCGGGAGCACCCTGGGAGCTTTAAGGGAGCAGGTGTCTTGCTCAAGGACACCACGACATAAGGGCATGTTGGAGAATCGAACCTGCGACTTTCAGGTCCCAAGTTGGCTGCCCTGCCACTGCACCACAGCCACAGTTTTTTTTACACAATGGGTTTGTGGTCCCTGACAGTAGCACTACATAAGTGCTAAACAGCGTAAAGACAAGGGCAAAGCAGCTGATAGTTTGATCTAAACAACTGAAAAGAAAAACAACAACAAAAGATGACAACAATCTGTCAAGTGTTTGAATGTCTTTAACTTCAAATTACTGAAGTTATATTCTTCTGCTCAACTCAAAGTATTTTTGCTGCTCAACACAGGCTAGTGTCAGTACGGGTAGCCTGCCATCTATTGTGAAAAAGAGAAATCGTTCACTCACCAGCAGTCTTGAGAGTAATCTTACTGGGTTTAGTGGCTCCCAGTACGATGACTCGTTCGATCCAGGACATTGTAGTAAAATGGGCATCAGGCATAAGGTTACTGTAAAACAAGCAGAGGCACAGTTTAAATATTATGTTGGAGCAACCCTACAGAAAGCAGCTTTATTCTTAAAACTAAACCAGAGATTGGTCCCTGCGTGCATTAGTGCCAAATCAGTTTCTCCTGATCGTTAAACATCTCAGAACCAGTTTCAGACAGATGCACATAAAGAAGAAGGTAAATGAGATCATGTGTCACTCACACAGAGGAGAGGACATTGTTGGCAAAGGAGAACCTCCTATGGATGAATTCCTTCTTTTCATAGTTAAAGGTGTGGCCATCGTCTATGTAGAGCTCCCCCTCTGCAGTTCTCTGTTAACCAAAAAAATAAAAGCTGAATTAAGACACTCCCACTTTGTGCATCATATTTCAGCCAGTCAGCTGCGTCTCTGTAGTAGACTGTGCACGGTTTAATTACCCGAGCATTAAGAGCCACAAAAAGAGTGTAAGGGTCATGCTCCATGCAGGTGGAGGATCGACGAACTCGAAGCTTCCGGGGGATGATGGAGCCGCCGCGCTGGAACACTGGAATCTAACGACAAAATCACAACGGACCGTCACACGCAGGGAAACGGTGACTAAAAGTGCAGAAACGTTTGAAAAATAACTGCAAACATAAAAATCCAACAGAAAATTAAAAAATACATTTCAACACAGCTTTAAGACTGGCCTTACAGAACTCATGGTGACGGGGATGTAAAGGTTTTGGGCTCCGTTGTGCTTGTGGAAGGTGTGGATGTCAAACCAGAACTGTGAAACGCAAACACAAGTTAAGACGGCAACACCCGAACGTGGCAAAATCCCTGAAAACGTGTTAAAGTTGATGCTTTACCTCATCTTTTCCAGGAAGGTAGGCAGTAACTCCCCTGGATCCCTCGTCAGTAACAGGGTGCACCAGCAAGTCTCGCCCTGAGGAAGAGGCCCGAACAAATTGGTTTTAGACATGCAATTAAAAAAATGAATTCAAGCTTTTATCTTGGTTTGTGCTTTTAATACTCAGCTGCTACCAAACCAAACCACCAGAGTTACACTCAATACATCATGAGCAGCAATAACAGCTTGAATAATGGTGCTGAAGACATTGTATTTTTATTTTGATCGGTAGTTCAAACATGTTTAAGGCAGCTGTTGGCCACATGGTGGCAGTAGGAACAAGTTTGGGGCACAGCATTTAGCTTCAGAGATGATGATGTAAATAAATTCAGCAGCTGTCACAAGGTACCACCATAGGAATTTATCTCGAACATCAATCAGTTTACCATTCATCGATATGTTCATCTAGCTGAACTAATAGTTTGTTTGCTTCTGCGGCTGTTATGCAAATTAAATGAGTTCATCCCCTGCCATGAGCTGGGGCAGTATGGGAATAAAAAAATACCGCAATGTTTCCAAAGTTGGTGTTCCTGTCACATTATCACTGAGGATATTTCTAACTGGATTCATAAAATTATCTTTGGATCCATTTTTCTGTGCCCAGAATAAGAACACATTTCAGTGTACTTGCTCACCAATCAAGAACTCATCATCCACAGCAAAAGTAGCAGGATCTTGAGGATACTCCACCCACAGTGGTCTGGAACAGACAAGTATTTAGGAAACGTCACGTTGCTATCTAATAGTTCACAGCAGTAATGATGAAACGACAAGGCACTGGTGCTCTCAAGTTCCTTTTTTTTGTTTGTTTTGTTAATAAAAGACCCGTAGCAACACATTCCATCTTACATAAAAAATATCCTCAGTTCAGAAAAGGTTGAGATGAACTTTGACTCACCTCATGACGGGCTCTCCGGTACGATATGCCTGGTAGAACAGCTGGTACCAGTAGGGCAGGAACGTGTAGCGCTGACGCACAGCTTCACGGATCAGAGCTGCGTTTTCTGGACCAAACAGCCACGGCTCACGGCGAGGGGTGTCCAGGTGAGCGTGGGCCCTGAAGAACGGCTGGTAAGCCCCTGTCTGGTACCAACGCACCAGCAGCTCGGAGCTCGGAGACTTGAAGAAACCACCGACGTCGGCTGCGAGACAGAGAGGGGTAAACTCTGACGTCTGGGGGGGGTTCAGTCGAGCTTTTCTACAGTTTGGGTTAACAGCAGTCTATTTGTTTTAAAAATATAATGATTTTACATAAAGATTAAATGAAACATGTCAGTAACTCTAGCTGTTTACGCTGGAACATCCTGACTATTAAACAGAAAAGAAGCCGGGTTACCAGGGAAACATTTGCTCTCGTACTGGTTTCCATAACAACACTACCATCGCCTCAGGGATCGCCGTCTACAAATTTAATTATTTCACAGCACATAGATTCCACCTTTAAAAGCTGAGTAACAGTAACCACACTCTGCTGACCTGCTTTAGTTTTTAATGTTTGCTTCTTGCTGCTTGTTAATTTATTACAATTACATTTAAGCTCCGAGGATAAAAAAGTTTTATTGTTGTTGTTGTTGTTGTGTTTTTATATTTCCAAGTCAAATTACAGATATGGAGACTCCTGCCTTAAAACCTGGTAATATAAACAATCAGCTGCTTTTACAATTTGAAGGGACATTTAAAGGTTTATTTAAAAACATTTTTGGCACATAAGATGAGTTGACATCATCAACTCAAACATAGGTTTAACAACAGGGTGGTTTTCAAGGATTTATAAATTGTTACACAAAACCACAACAGTACTGTGGCAACCTTCCTGCTGCACCTGGGTTACAATGACCCACCAGACCAAAACCAAGCCCTGGTGGGTCATTGTAGCCCAGGAGCAGCAGGAGGGTTGAGATGATCTATAAATGATCAAAAATTAAATTAAAAAAAGTGCAAAAACTAAGATAATTTAAAGCAAGTTAACAAATATATGCAGTTCTGAGTGTTAAATACATAAAATAAAAAGTCAGTCCCATGATGCCTTGAAGATAAACTCACCACCACAGAAAGAGATCCCAACCAGGCCCAGACTCAGGCACATGGGGATGGAAATCTTCAGATGGTCCCATTCAGCAGCATTATCTCCAGTCCAAACAGCACCTGGACACACAGTAAATTATGTCAGCGTTTTCAAAGCCTGCACTAAAAAGACGATCGAGAACAATCACAATATTATGGAGAAAATACATTTTTTAACGTTACACAATGTCGTAACGTTGTATCGAACCAACACCGTATAAAAACGAATTTAAGAGCAAACAATAACTTAAGTTTTTCCAATGTGTGATGCCAACTCTAGACCAGCAAAGGTACTCTGAAAGGAGGGGCCTCACCGTAACGCTGTGAGCCAGCGAAGAAAGCTCTGGTTAGGACAAATGGTCGCTCAACTCCCCCTGACCTCTGGATCAAACCCTCTGCTGTGGCCATTTGCTGCAGACCGGACAAAAAAAACAAAACATTTAAAGCAGTTTAAAAAGTAACATGCTTGGTTTACAATTTAGTGCATTTAAATCCTTTTCAAAATAATATCTTTTCTGAGAGATCATTTAGGCATAGGCCTGTCACGAATCACGATAACAAATTTTGATGAGCGATTAATTGTCTCAGAAATTGTTGCGATAAACGATAATGTTTGAAATTTGACAATAATTAGTAATTATTATTATAATTAGTAATTACTGTCAAATTTAAGAAAAAATGTTGGTCAAGTTATTTTATGTTTAGTACCTTTTTTCACCACCGGGTGGCAGTATAAGACTGAACAGAAGGATGGATAGTGAGGGAGCGAGCAGCGTGCCTTTAAGAAAAACGGGGAGGCAGGCCCCTTGATGTGACATGGCCTGTTTCCTTTTTTTGGTTATCAAAATGGTGGACGCTCGTGTGGTTTGTGCTCTTTAGCGTAGCATTTTTCACACAAAGCTTTTAATTTAAATAAATAAATAAAATAAATCAGTAAACAATTTATCAGCTTCTTTTTGCAGAGAAAAGCTATTTACACAAAGGCACGGGTTTTAACCGTGAATTCATTCAACCTTTATTTAGACAGGTAAATCCCATTGAGCCTCGAGGACTCATTTACAAGAGAATTTTGGAGCTTTGACAAGACGTTAGTGAGAAGAGTCTCCAACAATAGTTTACATTTATAACCCTTAAAAAAACAACAGAGAATGTCTACAGAACTCAACAACCAAGAAAAGTCAAATAATTAAGTGAAAGACACAACGAGCTGCGGTCGTTTCCACAGTTCTACTCACCACATAGAGGCCGTACAGGTTGTGGACGTCTCGGTGCTCCCAGGATCCGTGCACCGCATCTTTGTGCATGGTGACCTCAGGCCCGTTGAAGACAGACGGCTCATTCATGTCATTCCACGTGTAAAGGTTCTCCATGGTTCCCTGCAGAGGAGGCAGAAGGCTTGTAATCATAACGGCAGACTAATTACAAAAAAATATGCCATTTTAAAAACAAAGCAAAAGATTAAATACAATTTGTACTGACAAAATCTGTGAAAATGAATAAACTGGAGAAAACAAGTAGAATCTCAAAGAGAAAACACAAAAAAATAAATTCTAAAAGCTGACCCAGTGATGCTCTTTCATTTAACAAATGGATCAGAGTATTCTTCAGTTTTTATCACCTCCCTTTCCGTACAGATTGCATGCAACATCTTAATGTAACATGCACTTGCAGTCACTAACTGTGCATTTCTGCAAGACTCACCTCGTACTGATCATAGGCGAACATGCTGGCCCACCAGGCCCTCATGTCGGCACGGGTGAAGTCTGGATAACCAGCACTACCTAAAATCCATCCAAGACAGTGAAGGACAAAAAATAAAGCATGTAAGAAAACACCTTGTTCAAAATAAAGATTATAGGACACAGATACACAATCTTTATGATTCTCTGTTGAATATAAAGCAGAACATTTTCAGGTGAGTGGTTTAGGGCAATCCGTCTCTTACCCGGCCAGCACCAACCCTCGTAGTCTCCACCATCTTTGTTCTTGATGTAGAAACCCCGAGAGCGGATTTCATTATGGATCTTGTAATTGTTGTCTACTTTGATGTGAGGGTCTACAATTGCAACCATCTAGGAAAAAGTCAAATAAGACAAGTGGAAGGTTTTTATTTATTTTGTGTGATTTCAAGCTAAACGAGAGGCAGCTGCAGTCGATCGTTCTGTCTTGAACTGCTGGGAGAATGGATGCGATGGTGGTCGATGTGTTACACATGCCTTGCGTTTCTTTTCCTGGAGACCCTGCAGCATTTCTTTTGGTGTTGCAAACTTGTGGGGATCCCAGGTGAAGTAGCGTTTCCCATCCGTGTGCTCGATATCAAGCCAAATAAAGTCATAGGGGATGTCGTGCTCATCGAAGCCTGCGTCCACCGAGCGCACGTCTTCCTGGTCATTGTAGTTCCAACGGCACTGGTGGTACGCGAGGGACGACAGCGGAGGGAAGGCTTGGGTGCCTGGTGGACAGATTGAAAGAGACGTCAGCTGGCTACAACATGTCACTTAATGTTATGAAAATCAAAAACCATCATAGCACTGAGAACCAACACAGTTTAATTTAATCTTAAAAACAGTTAGTTTCAGAAATAGGAGTGTAAAACTTTAAATTATCTGAAAACGGTTCAAGTCCTGAGGCTTTTTCAACATCAATTTTAGAGGCATCAAGAATTTATGAAGATTTATTTAATCACAGAATTTACTCTCAACCAATTCAGCATATTAAATATCACGTTGTTATTCTCTAACCAGTGTGAAACACAAGTCTACCTGTTAGAGAGGCGTACTGAGAGAAGACGTCTTTGGGAGTTGGTCCCAACATGAGGAAAACATCAATGATGCCACTTTCAGAGATCCAGCGAACGTCAGTCTGTGGCGTTTCACTGGAACCTTGAACATAATCCAACATTTTCCCAAACACAGTCTGAAGAGAGAGACACATAACGAGACTTGTTAAGAGTCTTAAAAAGACCATTAAACTAAGACAAGGAACTGCTTCCATGCTTTGACGTGGAAAGAAACTGTACCTTTCCTGCTGTGTTTGAGCTTATATCGACCCAGGTTTCTGCAGCGTTGAGCCAGAAGATACCTGTAGTCCGTTTAGTGTTGTGCGCCAACATAACTGGGACGGCCCCGTACAGGGCCATAGGGTTATACAGCTCATACTGGAAAACGTCCAGATTATAGAGCCGATATGGATCTCCATTGCTGAAACAAACAAAACAGAATTACACATCGAAACTCACAGATGTAAAAAAAATAAAATAAAAAAAATACATAATGCACATGAATTCAAAATGAATGTGCTAAAATACGTGTTGTTGTTGTTGATGCTCACTCTGTTGTTTTAAGTTTCAGGGGTTCTGCGTGTTCTGGGATGCCATAAACGTGCTCTACCCCCGGCAATGAAAAGTCTAAACTAATGGCACATGGACCTGAAGAACAACAAGTCAGCAGATAGAGGAGACAAAGAAGAGCAAAGTACATATTAAAACTCAATATTTTTAATAACCTGATGAGAAACACCAAAACAGATTAAATCAACTGTAAAAACCTGAACACTGAGGCGTACCATTAGGCTTGCTGTCTGAATGTGATTTAAAAGTTTCTTCCCACATCCCCTCTTCTACTTTCTCTTCCTCTTCTTTTCCAGCCTGCCAGACAAACAGCAAAAAGCAGCCATATAGTGAACAATGAAGACTTTATTTAAATGTACAAATTGTGTACAGAAAGTCTCATGTGATACCTCGGCCTGGTTTGCCGAATCCGCCCCCTCCTTGTTCTCGGCCTCTGGCTCAGCCTGGCTGCTCAGCGAGAACAGAGTCAAAGTGAGAAGAACATGGAGAGAAAAGAAAGGCCGGTCACTTCAGCAAAGTCAAACAGTCTTGTGATAAGTGACAATGTGTGTGAAGACAACTAAACTATGGTTAAAGTAAATCAACATACAAACAGAGGGGTTGGTAATTGTCCCCTCGCTCTGATCGGACGACTAAAACAAAACTATGTGAACTTTAATGACAAAAGGGACTGAGCAACTAACTCCCTGCCTTGTGGCTACAATAAGATCGGCGTCGGGGGACACAACATGCAACACCCTCGAGGCTCCATTAGTATCCAGTTAACCCCAAGAGGATCCGATAAATACTGAGAAATATTCCCTTAAAAAAAAAAAAATTTGGAGCTGCGACAGTTTTTTTATTTTATTCAACACGAGCAGCTGCAGAAGTGAACGATCATCGGTGGACAGAGATGTAGGTGCTGCATTCTGGGTAAAATGTCCCTGAATCAGGGAGCAAAATATGTACAGCAAACTGAACTATAACCACAAAGAGAGAGGTCGCAGTGGGGTTGGGGCAGCAGAGCCTGCAAACTAGACTGAGGGGACACGAGGCACTTTCACAAAACTCTCTGAGCCGAGACTTTTGACCGTCTCTGTAAGATTTCTAGGTGAGCTGCAACGGGTGGAGGTGGAGCCAGCCTGCTTGCTGCTCCGCCAAGCAAGAAATAAAGAGTAACAACAGTCAATGTAACAATGTGAAAATGTAAGCCAGCTTTGCAACTGTGATGTGACGACATAGGGTCTGTGGATATAAAAGTCTAAACAACATGAAACAGATTAGTTTCAGAGGAGTTTGATGATGACAGCCAGTTATTTCTGAAAGCTCAGCTCAAAGACAAACAGCTCTTAATGGCCATTCCACTGAACTATTTTGTGAAAGTGCCTTCAGACTACATGGATGAAGACAGACATTAAATATTGATGGTAAACTGATGCAAATTTAGGACCCAAACTATTTTTCCGATGGCTGCAGCATTCATTCAATAGTGTTGTCTGAGAATCCCACATAAATAAGCAGTTTCAGAGTTGGATCAGATTATTGGACGAGGTGCTGAAGTGACATTCTGGGTGTATGATTAAAGTAATCAGACACCGATTTAACTAAAGAATAGAGTGTGGATCATTCCCAGCCCTAAAACAGATCTTGCTTTAAGTTATCTAATAATCGAAGTAATATTTGAGCGTTTATTTGTCTGATTTTGAACATTCTGGACTGTAATTCTCTCAATTTTAATCCTAGATTAAATCAAACACCTCCATGCACACACTCATTCACACCCTCTCTTGCAGTCACATTTATCTGAGGGCAAATGCAAACTTGGTGTGATGGGAAACCCTACATTTTGTTACCATTGGCAATATCAGCACAAGGAACAGAATACACACAAATCTTAAGGGTCTTTACCTAGAGAATACCCTCTTGATATTATCCCACACGCTAGCCACTGTGCTAGTTACTTTATAGGAGAAACTAGGATGATAGGGAGAAGAGGACAGAACAACGAGTCAGAGACAATACTAAAATAAATAAATAAACATATGGAAACAAAAACAGAAATCATCCACTGAGTGAGGAAGTGGTCTTAAAATAAAAAAAGTTTGTGTGTGTGTGGAGGTGTGGATTCTCACGTGTCCTTGCGCATCCTCAGGTGCTCAAAGGCCAACAGGCCACGCGAGTTCAGCGACATCAGCACGTCGTGCCCCTCCATGATATCGAGTCGGAAGGGCCGGGCGCTGATGATGACCCTCTGAGACTCTGCCCCCAGAGATAGCACCACCCCGTTCTCATCCTGAGACAGCACCGACAGGCTGAGGGAGCACAGAGGCAGAAAGAAAACCAAAATGAGTTATACAGCTGATAATTACAGTCTGAACATGTACTGAAGAAGACATTCCTCCTCCTGGTGATATGTTCTCTTCCACACATGCAGAAAATCTCACGGGACACTCACGGCTCTGTAGGTGGCTCCCTGACGAGCACGTCTGGGACTTCATAGCGAGGCTTCAGAGGCTTCAGCTCGTTAATCTTCACCCTCGTTATGTTTCCTTGGAGACGGTAGAGCTCGAGCAGCAGACGCACCTGAGAGACGAACAGTGAGCGAGAAGAAAGAAGGGTGAGGGCCGAGAACGAAACGGTTTTCTTTAAAGAGCAACATCAGTAAGGGGTTTCTACCTGGGGATTAATAATGTTTTGTAAAATATATTGTCAAATACAGAGGCAAAGGAAAGTCAACAGAAAGATTTAATGTAGTGAAAAGGCCCTAACAGGTACTTTAATTTACATCAATATATTGCTGTACATATAAAAAGTTTTGTAAATCTTGTGTGTTGTCAGGAAAACTCACAAAAACCTTTTCTTATTCTCTGGAAAAAAAAAAGAAAATTAATTTTCTGCTTTGTGTAAATAGTTGATTTTGCCTTTACAGACATTATTTTTATTTTATTTGTATTATTATACAAATAAAATTGTCTATTCATCTTGAAAATGCTGCACTTTGTTTCCTCTTAAGGTCCGTCTTAAATACAAATGCATGCATGTTGCATCATGTAGGATAGAGGGAAAAGGAGGCCTTCAGTGACAAAAAATATGATGCAAGTGCATTTTGAGACTCTTAAACATAACTGACTGAAAACAAAGACTTGTGCTTCAGCTCCAATAAAAAAAAAAAGTGTGTTAATCTGGTTGGCAGAAACTGAAATTCTAAATTATGGATACAGATTGTCAAATATATAGATATACTATTTGTAAACAAAACAAAAAAAGCAGCTTACTGCTTTATCTTTCATAAAGAAGTTATCTTTTTCCATACAAATTCATCACCTTATTCCCACATGTGTGGTTCTTTGGGCAGTTCCTCTTCAATGTGAGGTTAAATTAAAAATCTGACGCTATTTATTACCATAAGCCAAGAACAGAAATGTTATATTCCAAGCTGGAGTTGAAACATTTCAAGTTTCTTACTCAAACATCCACTTTCTGTGGCATTTTTCCACATTGTTTTGTGGAAGTAAACAATGTGAAATAGCTATTAAAAGCTTCTATTTTAAGTTATTTCTCTCCCTCCCCCCTCTTTTGTTTTCTATATGTATTACTCTACAACTAAAGCAAACAACTTTCATCTTCATATTGACACCGTCATGCGCCAGCCCGTTACGCAAATATTCAAAACGATATGCATTTTCAGAGGTTTGCTACAAAAGGAGTCATCCTGGAGATTTTGAATCTGTGCTCAACTGTATGTCTGCACAGTGATCATTTTACTTCAAGGACCAGACTGAAATAAAACGATCCATGTTGCCGTTACACAGAAATTCACCTTGTTGTTGTCATTGATGAGCTGCAGGGTGAGTCTGGTGTTCGTCAGCTCCATGGTCTCCAGCAGGACTCTGTAAGGGGACTCACCAGGCTTCAACGCTCGCTGACGCCTAGTTAAAAGTAACAGTTACAAAACGTCTGCAAATGCGTGCTTTGTTATAAAATATTACTTGTATGTGACTTGACATGTTTTATGGCCCCTTTACTACTTTTGTTTATTTATCTTGAACTCACTTGCAGAAAGAACTCTGGTCACAAGTCTTAAAGTTGCTTTTGTCCACAGCCCACGACCCGCTGAGGCACAGAGCCAGCCAGAGCACCGACACAAGCGCCATCCTGCAAAAAACAAAACAAAACACAGAACATCCTAAAAGTGCACTAATCTTAATCCCATTCGTGCAATCCCAGTGCAGTTCAAACACCATGACTTTGTGTTAAGCAATATCCCAACTGCATGAGAGGATCCTAACCACGCAGTAAGCACTCAGGAGGAGTTCAACTGTACACAGCCACCCGGACTTTGAAACCCTCCGAGTGGTAAAGTGTGTCCTCTAAAAGCAAGGCAGCTCAGTCATTCCTCGTTTTCCTCATTGTGCTGCCGTAGAGACACCGTGTGCTTTCAAAACAAAACACCCAGGTATCTCTCTTTTTATGCTGGGGCCAAATCTACACTCTAATCTCAATTAGTGCCAAATCCCACGGATGTGAAATGATTAGGATGAAGGTTAGCTAACAAGTCGTGTGCTAAAACTAATTGCACTCACAATAATTAATTTTCAATCCAAAATCAGGCACCTGTCATTTCAGTAATACAGCATGGCCTTTTTAAGCAAAAAACGAATGCGTGGCAGCAGTGCTAAGTATGAATTACCTCTTCAGACACTGTGACTACGCTAGCACTGCTAGCAGCCTGCTAAGCCGCTAATTCAATTGTGATCTCGACTTTGCTTGTACAGCAGTTTTTGTCGTTTAAAACTCGAAACACCAATCGTGTTTACTTGGTGTGAACCACACGCTGATATTCCTGACCCCCTCGAAAACAATCCGTAAGTTAACTAGGTGATTAAAAGCGGTAAATGAGCGGAACTATGTTTCGTCTTTACCTTTCAGTGAAGGTGGCCATCTTGTTTATGCTGCTGCCGCTTGGCTCCGCCCCTTCCACTCCGCAACAAAGATCGTTAAAAAGTAAGATTCCCACCAACTGACGAAAAATAATCTCCAGCGCTCAGTTTTTTTGCGATTTTTTTAAATATTACTGGCAGGGTTTCTTTAATTACGTCTGTACATATTGTTAAATTAATAAAACGTAAATGGAAATACATAGGAAACTCGTGTGGATATTTAATCACCCTCTCAGGCACGGCCACGTCATCTTCCAAGCTCCAGTCAGAAAGGCTCATCCCGGATTTGTCAGGCTTTTGTAATGCGCGTTATGGCCAAACCAGTTCAGCTCAAATTTAAACTTTAATCCAATATATTCCACTTTTTTTAAAACCTGCGTCGATTTAAAACTGTTTTAATTTCTCATCAGCTCCTGCTGTGTTAATATTTTGTTGCCCATTAAAATGTGTTCATTTTTAGGTGAGTTATTGGATATTTTCTTTTTCCTACATTTTCTGGTTACAGCTGTTTAATCTGGACACTACACTGAACATACAAAGCTGCTTGGCCAGATCACCTTTAAAAAATGGGGTGCAAAAAGAAGTGGGGCTTACCTAAATAAAAGTTAAAGTAACAAAACAAATGTTTTTGTGTTTTGCATGACATAACAGGTGGAAAACACCTTTCCAGCAGCTTGTAATGACCAACCAAGATTTACAAGTCAAGCGGCTCTTTGAGACAAAAATGAAGATTTATTTAGTGAAGTGGTTCAAACAGGTGTGTGTATAGAACAAGAAATGCAAAGCATATTTCCACACAATTGCAAACCACAATTAATCTGAAAATTAGAAACAAAATCTACAATTTATCAGAATTAAGTTGTGGTTTAAAACCAAAATGAGACATTAGGGCTTCTGTCTGGTGCTTATCGTCTGTATTTACAAACAATAAACACGTGCAATTTCTTAAGCCTTGATGCATCAGGTGGACATGTCTGTATCAAGTCTAAAAATACAATACAAAAGCTAAACATACACCTATGAACTTACCTCGACTTCTATAAAACCATACAAGACTTTGCAGTAATCTTTTTTAAAGTAACATGACATTTTAGAGGCTCTGCTGTTTCCTCGCCGTTTGATTCTTAGAGCTGAAATCTCCAGCACAGGTGTCCCAGTCTGTCAATGTTTTTATGAAGGACGCTGTGAATCGGTGCCACGTATCTTGCCACATCACCATCGCGTGAAAAATCTCTGTAGAACAGTCCCTTCTCTGGGCTGAAAACAAACTTCTGGGGAAGTGGCCCATTACCCCTAACATACTCCCACACAGCCAGGAGCAGCAGCCTCACCTCAAAGGGAGTCAGAAGAGGGAAAGCTTCGTGCACGTTGGCCAGCACAGGAGGCAGAAGTTGGCCTTCCCCCATACAGTACACCAGAAGGCAGGAGGCCTGCAGGTGCCATGGGGAGTCTGTGGACGCCGCCTCACGAGATGCCTCCCAGTGGGCCAGCAGAGTGGCTAGGAGACCTCTGAGCACAGCTGAGCAGTAGCAGAGAGCTGGACGTCCAGCTGCCACGATCTGCAGCAGAGAGAAGAGCACCGGGTGGGCTTCAAAGCACCGTCTAATGTGGATGTCCCGCTCCACTGTGGTGCGGGCGTGCTCCTCAGGGGGCCAGGACAACTCCCCATTGGCCACATCCGGACAGACATTTTCCACCAGAGTGACTGCAATGACTTTGGCTGCCTCTGCGTTGATGGGCAGCGGATCATCGGGGTCAGACGGTGTTCGTGAGGCGTTGAGACCCGACGAGCTGCAACACTGGACTATGACAGCCATCAGAGTCTGGATGTTCTGCAAACAAAAAGATGACACCGTCAGTGCTTTCTGCTGTAACGTGCATGAACACAAAACACAAATTCACTTCACTGATTTGTACATGAGCAACAAAACGTTTAACTCACCTGGGTGACATCTGATGGGTCTAGCAGCTGTAGGTCAGTGCGAACCTTCAGGCCCTTTCCAATCACACCTCCATGAAACACAGACCAAATGCTGCCAGAAAAATTCACGGTGGTACCAAACCGACAATTAATGTCCAGCAAAGAGGCTCCCAGGTCAGGGGAGACAGACGGAGAAGAAATAGGTGCCCCAGACATGTCTGCAATCTGTCCCCCAAACAGGTCGGCGTTCCCTCTGTGCAGAGCTCCCTCCACCAGCTGCTGAATTATCGCCTTCAGGGTGAGAGGGGAGTAGGCTGCAAACCGAGACAGAAGCAGAACTGAACAGTTCACGGACTCGGCTGCCTGACTCCCATCTCTACCCACCTTCCCCGCTTGCCCTCTCCTCCGCAGGACCATAAAGAAATGAGTGACTGCAGCTCTGGAGAGCAGGAGGAGGTGAGCTGGGGATGATGTTCGAGGGAGTGGGCTACAGGACAAGAGGCGCACTGCAGCGTGAGACACAGCTGAATCACCATGGAGAAGAAGCGGGCAAAAATCATGAAGGTGTCCTGAAACTGCTGAGCCCACCTGTACAGCCATGGACGACTGAGCTCCTGCTGCTCCTCTTTTCTCCTCATCTTGGCTCTGGATGGCTGCAGACATGTTCAGCAGCAATTGCTTTAGCTGCCGGGGCCCCAGGGTGTGTGTGTGAATCTGAGCCACACAGTGGGCCACAGCAGCTGGAACGAGGCCCACCATGCAGGAGGAGAGGGTGGTGTGGAGCTGCCATGCCAGAGCCAACTCCTCTGGGTTACAGGCCTGGGTTAAAAGCTGGCAGAGGGTCTCTGTAGCTATGCTGGGACCCCCGTACACTGAGAGCAGGCACAGCAGTTGGTGCAGCCAGAGGTGACGCTTCCTCTCCAGTCGCAGTGTCTCGGCACACAGCTGACCGACATGAGAGCGCAGCTCCTCCAGGAAGGGGATGACCCTCTGAGGCTGAGAGGAGGATGAATTGAGAAGGCTGGCCTCAGCTCCATCAGAGCGGTTGAAGACTAATTTGTGGAGATGAAGGAGCAGCATCTGGAGGAGGCGGTCGCAGCCTTCTCGAACTCCTTCATGAGGTGAAGGTGTTGGGCCAGAGATGATGACTGAAGCAGGAGTTGCTGTGTCTGCCAGAAATCTGAGGACCTGTGCCCCCCCTGATGGACTCTGGCTGATGAGGTGGACGGCCAGCCCCAGCATGTTATCCAGTTCCTCTCTGGGGAGGCCCTGCAGCAGAGCCTGCAGCTGGAGCAGAACAGGAGGACGTAGCAGCTCCACTAGCTCTGCAGACACAGCACCAAAGAGGTTTGGGGACATTGCAGCTAATTGGAGCAGAAATGGAACTGCAGCACGTCGCAGCTGTGGGGAACTTTCCCAGGATGTTGAGGACGAAGTGGGTGAAAGAGGCGTTGATGGAGTCAAGCTTTCCTGAAACATTCTTAGCAGCTCCTTCCTGATGCTTTCAGAGTGGTGTGCTGCAAGATGTCCAAGGATTCCCACCACGGAGCCGATCTTTGGCACCCTGCTGCCTTTATCCACCAGCAGTCCCTGGTCCTTAGCACCATGAGAGCAGAAGTCCTTCAGCCCACATGCCAACACTCTGCTGATGATGGTTCCTGGAAAGGCAGAGCCAATGTGAGCTACCACCCAGTCAAAATGTGGCGAGTGTTTAACTGAGGTGTCCAGCAGCGCGTCCACGCAGGCGTCGGGGCACCAAGCCAGCATGGCAGCCAGACACAGAGAGTAGGCCTCCATGAGGGACCGAGTGGCAGCGCAGGACATCCAGAGCTGCAGCAGCTCGTTGAGGCTGGAGGAGTGGGGGGCCACCCGGCGCCCGGCATGCTTGCTGCTCAGCTGTCCCAGGAGATCTACAGCCCAGGTGGACACCAGGGGGGCCCAGGCTCGAGGGTTGAGTCGAATGAACTCTGACAGCACGCCATGAACCTCCTACATACAAGAAAATAATTGATCATCTTCTAATCAAATAGAACCGCTGGTATTTCAAAACCAATAATTTTCCAGTTCGTTTTCACCTGTATGATGTCCTCCAAGTTAGAGGTCGCTCCAGAGCTGGCGTTCCCCTCCGTCTCCAGATTGTGGAGAAACGTGGACACATGCTCATTGTACACGCCCCTCAGATGCTCCAGCACTGCTCCCCGACAGGCCGGGACCGAGCGCAGCAGCCGCACGGCACAGCGGGCGTGTTCCCTGATGCTGAGCTTCCGGCCCTGAACAGGGTCAACGCCGCTGATGAAGGACTTGATCTCCTGGGAAAGTTCCTGGGCACTACAGGAAAACAGAAGTGATAAGAGCAAAAAAAAAAAAAAAAAAAAACTGTCTTCTACAAGCTAAAACACGATGAATAAAGCTGATGCAAAAGAAAAAGTAAGGTCAGGACACACATAGTCATAAAAGTAAACAAAAATATTGAGTTTCAGAGTTCTATTTATTTTTATAACTTCTTTGGCAGTTTTATTTCTTTAACAATCATTCAGTCCCAGATATGTAAGATCGAAGTATGAATGAAGCCCATTTTACTTCAAAAAGACAAACGTTAAATCCTTAACTGCCTGGTGTTTGGAGCTACAGAAAGTCATTCTAGCTATGGCATAAAATGAATATAACAGGTCAAAAATAAAACAGAACAGTTAATGACAATTAAGAACCAGCAATTGTTACAAAACAATCAACACAATGACATTAAGTTTATATTGTTAAATGAGTTTTTAACACAGATAGTTGTTTCTCTTCTAATATATTTGAAAAAGAAGTCAGCAGGCATAAAATATAGCTATATACAAAAACAAAGCATTATTGTATTAAAGAACATTTAGAAATTTTGATACATAACTGATTATGAAAGTCCAGCAAAAATCAGACGTTGCTGCACTTTTTGCTTTTATTTCTAAATAAATTGATTTTTTTAAAGCCAGGCAAAGCAGCCAGCTGAAGGACGTTATCCTGAACGCTTTAATTTTTAATTTTTTTTTTACAACACTAGTACAACAATTACTTACTAAAACTAAAAACAGGAAAAACTACAAATTATTTTCATAATCTATTAGGCTGTCTTTTTTAATTACTCTTATAATTATTATTTTTTGCTTTAAATTACAAAGTAAAATTTATGAGCATTTAAGTGATCAATATGCTTATTGTTATGTTTATGTTGCAACTGAAACATAAATATATTTAATATTCATAATATTTTCTGAATTTCTATTTTACAAAGGAAATGTATGTTTGATTAAATGAAGAAAGTTGAACTAATTATTTAAATCACAAATCCAAAACTGTGTGTTGACATCAACCACTGATTTGTATCATTTAATAAAGAACACAAGTTGAGCTATTTAACTTTTTTATTATTGTGAACTAGTGAATGATTGTCTCATTTGTCTCTATATGACTCTGTGATGGACTTCCAACCCATCCTGGGTGTACCCCACCTCTCGCACAGTGATAGCTGGACATGGACACCAGTGACCACCGTGACCCAAAAAGGAAGAAGTGGGTTAAACATAATGGATGGATGGAAATTCACTTAGTGCTCCATTAATATAAAAGCAGAAGTAGATTCAATAATAAAACCCGAGAAGCTCTACATTTTATGTCAATAAAACCTGAAAAATTAATTCGCCCCACAAAGTAGTTCCTCCTAATAAACAATATAAATGACTTATTTACTGAGCTTGCTTTGTGTTGTTTGTTCTGTGTATTTTTAAACTATTTTGACAATTTTAAATGGAATTTCAAATGGTTTTCAGGGATTTATTCTCAGTTGTTTATTTATTTATTGTTATGGGGCAGTACCGTTCACCGAACCACGATTGTCAAGCAGATGGGAACATGTCCTGTGTGCCGAACAGCCAGCTCCAAAAGAATTTCATTTTGGCATCACAGTTGGACACATTCGGCTAGTTTTAGTGCATTAGTATGACCACTACGAACCCTAGACCTTACAGTGCTCAGAGCTGCAGTGAAACCTGTTGAGTCCAACAGTGGAGATATTCTGTATGAATCTATTTAGAGCAGACAGACAGGATGCATACAGAATACTGAGGATGAAGAAGGAACAACAAAAAAGGGACGTTCACTATCTGTGGAAGCAAGTATGACTCTGACAGGTTAATGGTTACATCATTGGTTTAGAAATCAGAAGTATGAGCATGCATCAGAACATACATCTTATTTTGTCACAGAAAATGTAACGCAATTTGTAAATCTTGTATGGCTAGTGATTCAGGAAAAGAATGTCTGCCTCACTAATATTTTTGCTCACGAGCTAAAATAAAATGTGGCTTTAATTTTAAATTAAATTATTATTCTTTTTTTTTTATTATTGTCATGATGCTTCTGGGCTTTTGAATTTCCCTCTCTGGGATAGATAAAAGTATACAGTATATCTAATTCTCCTTGTAAAAAAAGAAAAGATTCACCTTTGTTCAGAATAAATATTTGTTCATAAATTCAACTAAGAGTTTCCTGCTTTAATAAGCACTAATTGTTAAACGTACTGTAATGGCGGGACATTGAAGCAACACATAAAGTTTTACCTGCTTCTATATAAACAGCTAACATAGAAATATGACAGAAAACCTGAACTGGGTGAGTTTTTCTTACCTGAGTGCAGTCTGAGTCTGCGCGGTGTGACTCTGAGAGCTCTGCATCGCTTTCAGCGGACTCCCGTCAAAAACCACCGACATTGTTCGCTCCTTTCCCGCTTTAGCCTCACATTAAATCCGCCTCTCGGTTCTGGAGCTTCAAAGTGTGGGATTGGAACAGCTATTTGTTGTTTTTTTCCAGAAAAAGCTCGGGGGAACACTTCAACGAACGGAGAACTCCATTCCCGGAAGTCGGAACCTTTTCGCCGTTACAAAAAGGAAACTCGACATCCATTGTGCGATGTCGCTATCGACACCTACCGGTCGGAGTGGGTATTGACATTTTCTGCCTAGAGAAGGCTTTTTAAAACTACTTTACCGATTAGTCTGCTTTACCAGTAAAATATCATGAAATATTTTATAAGGATTTTAAAATGTGCCATTTATGTATCCTCTTTATAAGCTTACTATACATGCACTATGTAGAAACGGGGGGTTGAATATATATAAGCAAGTAAGTAAACTTTATTTATATACCCTGATGCATGCTCAATAATCCAGGTAGAAAAATCCAAAAAAGTTCAATCTGGTCCTCTGGACATTCAAAAAAACAAAAGCAAAACAAAGCAAAAAAATCTCGAAACGTTTCGTCTCTCATCCAAGAGACTTCCTCAGTCTGAGGTGCTGTTTTCAGCTCAGTCTCTTAAACATACATCTAGAAGGTGTAAGGCATCTAAGAAGGTGCTATTTAAGAGACTGAGCTGAAAACAGCACCTCAGACTGAGGAAGTCTCTTGGATGAGAGACGAAACGTTTCTAGATTTTTTTTGCTTTGTTTTGCTTTTGTTTTTTTGAATGTCCAGAGGACCAGATTGAACTTTTTTGGATTTATTTATATAGCACTTTTCATAGATACAGTCACAAAGTGCTTTACAAAAATACAAAATACAGGCTTAAAATAAAACAGAAACAATAACAGCTGATTCATAAAGACAGTAAGAACAGCTGACAAAAACAGTAAATAAAACATTTAACTGAAAGCTTGTCTGAATAAAAGTGTCTTAAGCTGCTTTTTAAAGGAATCAACAGAGACGGCCACACGAAGAGACAGGGGCAGGGCATTCCACAGTCTAGGGGCTACGGCCTGAAATGATAGGTCGCCCCGAGTTTTAAACTGGGTCTTAGGAACCTTTAGAAGGGTCAGCGCTGAAGACCGAAGGGTGCCAGCTGGAGAATAAGGGATCAACATCTCAGTGATGTACTGAGGGCCTGTCCATTTAAAGCTCTAAAAGTTAAGACCAAAATTTTAAGATTAATTCTAAATTCAACAGGCAACCAGTGAAGAAAAGATAAAACTGGCGTAATGTGAGAACTTCTATTAGTTCCTGTTAAAAGCCTTGCAGCTAGTATAACTAGTATAACCATAGTAATGTAGTATAACTAGTAGTATAGTGTAACTATAGTGTAATAATATATTATAAGAGTAATTGAAAAAGACAGCCTAATAGGTTATATGAATACTTTGTAGTTTTTCCTGTTTTTAGTAATAGTAATTAATTGTTGCTAGCTTTGGATAGAACACAATGTGGGACATATTTACACTCTTGGGCGTTCTTTAAATCACTCATAAACCGAGCAAGAAGAAAATAATCAAGAAAATAACAACTTAAATCTAGTTGATTTGCAAACAAAATAACAAAATGCTTCTTCGTTTAGTAGATTTGATAATAGGATGTAAGAAACCAAGCAAATATTATGAGAAAATCTGCTTCTTAGAAATTTAGCAATATTTAACCAAGTTTGTTTTTTCACTATTAGCAAACTGCCTATATTTCAGGTCTCCCCAATACACTAAAGAACATCTTAAAATTAAAAAAGCATAAGAAGACACATCTAATTACCGCCAGGAGCTGAATCACTTCATTTTTTATTATCAGCAATGGTTTATCACTGAATTATCTGCTTAATCATACAAGTGAATGCATGTATGGGTCAAAGATTACAGTCCACTGTTAATGTTGGAACATGAACTTCATGAAAAATAAGCTAATCATCTAGATATAAATCACTCGTGCTTTGAGACATTATCTGAACTTTGTAATAGAAGTTGAAGTGAATCGATCCTTTTTATTCTTGTCTATGTTACAATTACATTGTTCCAAGTTCCACTTTGCATGTATGAGTAAATGTTGGTCCAACCTGTTCTAACACAGCAACAACACAAAAGGAATTCCTGCTGACTGATGGTTTGGCTTGCTGAGTCTCTTCTTGTTAAGTAAAAAAAAAAATTACACTCTAAAATGTATTTTCATTAAGGGGACTGAACTGAAATT